GTTGTTATTAATATTAATATTAATATTAATATTAATATTAATATTAATATTAATATTAATATTAATATGGCACGATTCAGCACACTCTTAATTATCCGACTGTATAGCCTGTGGAGATCGCTAGTTTGCACCTGTGAGCAACACTATCAGAAGTGACAACCTTGTGACATAACAGGTGGATCAGCAGAAACCCCTTCTGTCTCTCCAATCTTCACCCCAATGTTTTCCCTTCATGCCACTGCCTCCTTACTCATGAGTAAACTGGGGAAACCTTACTCATGAGTAAACCAAAATCCCAAGACTTACGCAAACTCTTCTCACAGAAGAATAAATATCTCCAGTGTGAACCAAAGTATTGCCTGAGAGACAAAACAGATTGCACTAAAAGCAAGAACCTTTGAAGTGTGAACCAGACCACTCCAAATTCACCCATCTAGATGAACCCATATACATCTGGGCAAAGTGTAATTGACCTTAACTCTGATTCATTGAAACCTCAGTTTCACAATGGTCTCAAGATGGTGTGTTTCATTAAGCTATATGCTTAGAAGATGTAACAACAAGCTGAGGGGCATGGTAAATTTATATAAAAGGGGGAAGAAAAAGCTCCCAAATTCCTTACACTACAGCAAAGAAGAAGAATAGAGAGGACAATGGGTGAGTGCAAAGATCACCATGGCCCATTCTAGTATCTACAAATCATTACATATTATTTATGCATTGAAATAAAAGTTTTGTGAAGTGCTGCATGAAGGAGAAGTGCAAATCATGAACAAAATATAACAAAGACACTTGTCAGCTGAAACTGTCTCCATTGATCTTTCTACAGACCCAACATCCTCTTCACTTAGTAATTATTACCTGGAATGATCAAAATAAAATCTCCCATACAGACATTCCTCTTATACTCTACAAATGAGTACATACTCTAAAAGTTCAGATTGACTTACAATTCAAGAAACTGCAGGTATGTACAGTCAACAATAGTGTCTTCTGTTATCACTTCCCTGCCATAGAACACCTCATAAATTGACAATAAATCCTTGACAGGTACATACCTAAACATAGTAACATCAGAATTTCTGAAATGAATCAACAGTCACAATGAGATATCTAAAGCAATCCCTTATCTTTAAATTTCCTGAAAAATATTGGAAGTGTTACAGGGATAAAATAACTTAAATATTCAAGAAGTCCACAATGTAGTGTGTGTGAAGGGCCGCAGCTAAGAAGTAGAGGACATCCTTCATAAGCAGAAATTCCCTCATCCAAGCCTTGGCTTCTCCAGACCTGGCAAACTCTTGACTGAGAGCCACTGCCAACCTTCCCTCCAAGAAATTCAAGACAGATCCAATAAGGATTGCCATTTTATCTCCACAAAAATCCCATGAGATTAAAAAACATTCACTGCCTAAAATATCTCAGTGGGCAGGAATTTCAGGAGAACCCAGAGTTTAATGGAAATGTCCAATGTTCAAATGCCATTCTCTCCAGGGCTGGAAAAAATCCTGTCTGAAATCATTGCCAGGACTTAATGAGGGGGGCTGATTCAGTATATGTAGGTAGCTTTCTGTGGCCTACATGGCTGTTACAGAAGAAAGTGAGGCAAATGCCGATGGGCAATTATATTTCTGGTGCTCTTCTTTGTTTTCATCAGAAGCAACACAGTAAAATTTATATATATATAACAATAGGCAACCTCAAGAGCATTTGGCACAGCTGACATCATGTATTTTGTGGTATATATTGAGGGGCACAGAGAACACCAATGTGTTGCCTGCTCGTCTCCACACTTGCAAAGAGACGTGCATCCATTTTTCCACTGCTATCCCCTCTTCCCAGGTTAAAATCAAAGGAAAGTTTTGGCATTAGAGTAAAAGCAATAAAGAATGGGAAAAGAAGAGTCCATCTTGACAGATCTTTCAGATAATTAAAGGCATTCAGATGTCTTTAATTAAGCTCTCAGATCTTTCAGATAATATCTTTGGATCTTTCAGATAATTGAAGGCATCAGATAATTTAGATAATTAAAGATAATTAAAGAGTACAAAAATGTAAAATTGTACATCATCAGTTCTGCAGCCAAGGACCTCAGGGTCCAATATACAAAGCTTTCCCAATTGCTATATTAGTGTTTCTTACCAGTTTGGTTCCAAATAATCAAAATCAAGTTCAAATTGACTTAATACATCACCTCCTAAAATAAATAAATAAAAAGAACAGTAAGACCTCCAGTAACTTTTACAAAAACTGTAAGTTGTGCCTGTGTTTGATATTATTATAGCATACAGAAGATAGCCCAGAATACATTTTGCGTTTGGGGTACGGGTTTTCTTCATACATTTGGGTCATACTGTACTGTACATTAAATCAGACCTGGGCAAAGTGCGGCCCGCGGGCCACATATGGCCTGAGAGCTGCTCCTATCCAGCCCGCTGGTCGCCACTCCAGTCTGGCCCGCCTGTCGACGCTCCTGTCCAGCCCGCCCGTTGCCGCTGAGTGAGTCGAAGCTCCGGCTCCGGTAACCCAGCACAGCAGTAAGCAAAACGCGCGAGATCCGAAACTGGGATCTCACGAGTTTTGACTGTTACCCCGCGGGCCACATATGGCCTGAGAGCTGCTCCTATCCAGCCCGCTGGTCGCCACTCCAGTCTGGCCCGCCTGTCGACGCTCCTGTCCAGCCCGCCCGTTGCCGCTGAGTGAGTCGAAGCTCCGGCTCCGGTAACCCAGCACAGCAGTAAGCAAAACGCGCGAGATCCGAAACTGGGATCTCACGAGTTTTGACTGTTACTCTTGAGCCGGCTCCAGTCCGGCCCGCCCGTTGCCACTGAGTGAGCCGAAGCTCCGGCTCCGGTCACCCAGCACAGCAGTAAGCAAAACGCGCGAGATCCGAAACTGGGATCTCACGAGTTTTGACTGTTACTCTTGAGCCGCAGGCTGCAGAGACAGCGGCTCAAGAGGCCAGAAGCGATCCTTGTGCAGGCGACGTGATGACGCATCACATCACCTGTGCGGGATAGAAGACAGTCGGAGAGGAAGGCCGTGAGGGAACTGAGCTAACCTATAGTTAGCTCAGTGCTGAGGTTTTTTTTCCCCTCCCCCCCTGCAGTGAACGAATTACAACGCTGACATAGTTAACTCCCTAAAAAGTTTAGAGAGTTAACTATGTCAGCCTTGTAGTTCATTCAACGCAGGGCCTCACCCAATGGGGGCCTATTACTACCCATAAATTGGGGGGTCTATTACTACCCACCCCTGAACACATTTCAGATTTTTCATGTGGCCCCCTATAGAAATTAATTGCCCACCCCTGCATTAAATGAATGAATATCCCTTACTATCAACCTGATTAGATTGTTTTCCTACCTGTGAGGCTGAGAGTACCCCAAGAGGCACTCCTCAGAGTGTACTGTCCGCCTCCTCGGTGGAAGACACTGAGGGACAGATGCCCACCTTGGAGGAGAACCTAAAGGGACTGTACTGTATTTGGAAGAGTAGGGGCAGCATCAACAAGAGAAGGAACCACCAGAGGGCGCCATTTCTATGAGAAGGGGAGAGGAAATCAAAGGAAAGGAAAAAGAGGGAAGGGGGCAGTTGGAAACTGAAGAGGGAGAAGCATGTTGGGTGGAGGAAGAGGAGGATGAGAGAAAACATAGACTGGGTGGAGATAGTACAAGAGGATCTCCTTGGACAGGAGAGTGGATGGAGTTTAATGTCCCAAGGGACTATGCTGAGAAGGAATGGAGGAGGAAAACCTATAGAAAGCCACCTTACTGGGGCGAGAGGAGAAAGTAGTGGGAGGCACAATGAAGGGAGAACAAGCCACGTCCAGACCATCCTGGGAAACCCCATGGGAGGAGCCCATTCCGACTGAGGATGAGACAAAACCCAGACAAGAAAGTATGGGAACCACAGGTGGGCTGGGCTTTCCACCCTCCACCAATAAGGTCAGCTGCAGATGTACCCGACAGACTGGGCGTTCCGCAGAGGTGGTGTTACAGAAACTTCAGTTCTAACCCAATGCAATTAGAGGGGGGTTTATTATGGTTCAATGAGAAAGGAAAAGACAACAATGTCCCTGAAGCAAGAGACAGAGTCTGTTGTTAATGTTGAACTGAGCAAGTTGTCAAAGAATAAAGGATTTTTGTTATAAATTTCTAGCATCCCTGAGTCATCCATCCAGGAAGATCCAGATAAAGGAGAAAAGGGGATTACACCAGAACACATACCAACACCAGAATTTCCTCAGAGCCACTAGTCTCAACAACCCAACTTGCAAATTAACCCAATGGCCAGAATCCTGTTGGTATTCTTGTAAGGTGTGTGAAACTTGCTGCAGTATTTGCAGCTAATTTATGAGGTAATCAAGCATATGACCAAGATGCACTCCAGCACCTTGCCAATTAGCTACAGCAAGCTACACAGATTCTACCCAGTGTTTACTTTTCTATGACCAATTGCAAAACAAAGCACAGTACATGCAACCTATGTGAGGACAGTCATGCTATAAAGAAAAAGATATATTTTACTATTCAGAGAGCACCTCTGAAAAAAATATGGCAAGCATATAATCTGGTCTGTCACAAAGACAGAGCTGCAACACAGCAATTCCTTTATGATAGTATCCAATATAGATGGGAACATGTAAGACTATTGTACTGACATGGAATGAATGAGTCACATGACCATTTCTTACTTCACTGTCCCATGTGTTTAATAACACACACTCATGAGAGGTAATGTTATAGGACAATATCTGTAGCACTTTGTATATATGGATATACATATACACAAGGAAAAGCCTTGGGGTAAAATCCTGTTGGTTAACCTAGGAAGTCACAACTGGAGTAGGTCCACTAAATCACTGGGGATTTGGTGGGTCATCTCCTCCACAAGTTCCACTGATTCAGTTGGCTACTCTAATAGTGACTTACTACACTAAACAATAGGACTTCAGCCAGCCAGTATCTTCATCGACACCACTCAGCAAATTGTTTTTGAAATACTTTGTGTATATCTACAGTTTTAAAAAAGCCACACAGGCGTCATGCAACCTCATGATGCAAGTAAGAGAACACTCTTGTCTGTGATTATAACATACAAATCTTTCTAAGAACTGTAAGTACATATATTACCAAAATCACCAGCAGCATGAGCTTCTGAGTAAGAGCCAAGAAAATCAACCTATTTTTGAAAAAATAAAAAGGAGAAACACCTTATTGATAATTTATAATTTATTTCCACAGACACTACAAACATGAAAGTGAATACTGTATATAATTTCTTATTCTTTCATCCAAGTTTCATATAAGATACACAGGAAATTATTCAAATCTTTGCAGCTTCTTTTCTTCCCTGTTGCATATATATACTCTTTCATGTGTTAGATTTCCTTATCAAGATTTTCTTGCTGACCAGCTGCAAAAACTCAGCCTTTCCTGCTTTTCAAGTTACCTCTACAGCTGCCAAATACTTGTTCTGCAACCCTACTGAATCACTTATTTCATCACCTGTAATGACCAGCCATCAAAAACCAACAAACAAACACAAAAAGCAAACACTTTTAACCATGAATTATTTTAGCGCCTTAAAAAATAAGGATAACAAAACATATCTCCAGTAGTATTTGTTTTACATGTCCATCGTTCCCTTGTGTTCTGCTTTGATCAATTCAGAAGGTATGACTTACTGCTGCCATGGCCCGAAGAAATCCTTCTTCGATCCCCAAGCTATGCCAGCTCACATCAGCCACCATATGAGAAGCCACTCCAAAGAGAAAAGCCACAAGCTTCTCTGTAGCCTAACAACAGCAACAAAAATGCTTCAGCACCTATATTAAGCCCAAATGCACAATGCTGTTCAAGTGATATGGTGATACTTCTGGCTCATGTTTGTTGATGAAAGCTGGCCTACACTTTCACTAGCACAGGAATGAATGGTCTACGGTGTATGTTTTTACAGAGCATGACACTTAACAAATGGGGTGAGTCCTTGTGGCCCCCAGGGGCCCTAAAAATCACTTCCTGTGTCTGAGGTTTCGATCCAAAAATGCTCACTCTTGACAAAACTTGTTAATCTTTAAGGTGCCAAAACATTTTGACCTTTGCTCACCCTCTTCCCCCCACCCCATTTCCTCTCTTTAAAGTTGGTAACATTTAATAAGTCATGGCTGTAGTCTTTTAAAATAATCGATACACTTTTCCTAAGGAATTTATGGTTTGCTAATGTTTACAGTAGACAAATACTGGTTCATAAACTAGAATGAGGGCAGAATAGGGTGCTAAATATACTGTCCCATCTTAAAAGCCATTAAGAAGCGCAATAATTAATATGTCCATTTTTCTGTCTATTTCTTTCTGTATGGAGCAATGAATGGAAGAATAATATGACTTATAAGAATTAGTGACTGGGCATTCAACTAAAGCAATTTACGGGAATTTCTTACCTCTCCCCAAGGTTGTGGATAGTTCTTTCTGATGTAGTAGATACTTGTATTGAGAAAAGGGGCCCAATGGGTGTCTTCAGAAACATCATGGAATTGCCCTGAAACATCAGTGAACAAGATTTAGTTACAACAGAAAATTTTATTTCATCCATTTCATTTTTATTCAGTGGAATATGTAAATAATGGACCATCTGCTAGCAGTTCTCCTAGCAAATATTCAAAGAATTTTTATAGCAAAGCAAAAATACAATAATCAATGCCCTGTAACAAAAATCATGAAATCATAGTTTAATAGCCCACATTGTTACAAAATCCAAAGTGAGGATCTATTGACTGCACATAGTTTAGAATGTTAAGTAGCAATTGTTATTCTGCACCCCAGATGACAAATAGAATAATAATATTCTTAGAACTACAAAGCTGGAAGGGACTCTATGGATCATTGCATCTAGCCCCTCTCAAGGAGGCACAGTGGGGAATTGAACTCCCAGCCAGATACTGTACCTAAACCACTGAGCTATCCAGAATGTTACCAATCAAGTCACTTGAGCTGAACATCACTCTTAACCATAATTGAAAGTTAGATGTTCAAGATCCTCCCCACCCCTCTCGTCCTCCAGCAGGAACAGAACAAGGAAATCATCATCATCTGTTTTCAATTGAAGATTGGAACTCTGGTTAGCACTAACTGTGGCGCATCGAGAAAAGCTAGGATCATAAACTAAAATTCAAATAAGTTCTACAGTGATCAACATAATTAGCTGAAAATACAGAAGATAACAATCTGATCTCAAGCTCCTTGCAGATTTAGAAAATAATGAGGCAAAAGTACTTTTTCACATAGTATTACACCACAGTTTAATGTAACATCCAAACACAGTCCCTGGGGTTTACTGAATACAATTATGAATTACATATTCATTGCATGAATTACTGTAAAATGTGGATAGTTAAAATGCACAACTAAAAGGTTTGGCATATACCTAGGAAAGACATAATGTGGATGAGACAGTTCATAGGTACTCTTTCAAGGTACTTATTATATGAAAGCAGAGATCCATCCATTTAGGTAAAAGTAAAGGTTCCCTTTGACATTTTTAGTCGACTCGTGTCCGACTCTAGGGGTGGTGCTCATCCCTGTTTCCAAGCCGTAGAGCCAGCACTTGTCCCAAGACAGTTTCCATTGTCACGTGGCGAGCGTGACTAGGGAACGCCGTTTTACCTTCCCACTGAAGTGGTACCTACTTATCTACTCGCATTTGCATGCTTTTGAACTGCTAGGTTGGCAAGGAGCTGGGACAAAGTGACAGGAGCTCACTCCGTCACGATCTTATGACTGTTGGTCTTCTGACCCTGCAGCACAGAGGCTTCTGCAATTTAGCCCGCAGTGCCACCACATCCCTACCCATCCATTTACAACTCTGATAAATTAAGTCACTTGGACATTAATTCCTTTAGTCCTACTGGAGTTAGAAAAGTCAAAACAGACTAAATCCTACTGGTATAGTTTGGGAGCTGAATGTTATCATCTTTTTTTTCTTACAAATTTGATTTCAACTGAATCAACAAATAAAATCCAAATAGAATCCAAAGTGCCAGTTTGCATACTGGCATATCCACAACTTTGAACCAATTATCTGTACGGGTTGCTTGTTCATCATACAGATTTCCTGTGCAGTCTATGCCTGACCAATAGCAGACTCTGTATAGATTCTTCGATAACACAGTTACAATTTAACCACAGGAAATTATAGCCAGAATTCATAAATGCATGTGGGGTGGGAGGACAGAGCCAAGAATAACATTTTTCCATACTTTCTTACCATTCTTACAGATACCAGAATAAAAGGCATCAGGATAAAGGCTTCCAGCCTGATATGCATCTTGGTGAGTTAATAATAACTATATAACAAAAAGCAAAGAAAGAAGAAACAAAGCATTAAAGGGGAACATAATTTCTAGCATTTCAGGAACAGACAAATATACTACTTAATGTCACTTTGAGGTATTATTTTGCTTCTTTGTGTGTTCCTTTCATACCAGTTATATTCCTATGCAGGAGTCTAGCACTATGAATATGTTTAGAGGGAGTGTTTAGCCCTACCTCCCCTCTTGTCACATTGTTCATGTGTTCAGGGACAGATCTGATCAGGAAAATAATACTGCTCATGTGTTAGCTCTACATGTGAGCAAGAACCCAGATTTACCAAGGTAGAGGGCAGCATCTATACCCAGCCCTGTAGTTGTCCTTCTTTATGCTTCCTTCTCATATTTCTTGTTACTTATTTCAGTTTTTTCATTTACATTTCTACTTTTGAAGTTGTTGCTTATAGGAAGCAGCACTTATATCTCACCTATCTGAACATATTATCTTATATCTTCATGAGTTTCCTTAAACAAAAATGGACATATTATATTACTTAGTTGTTTAATTTCTTTACTTTTTGGGTTTTATTTATTTGTGTTTCCTTTACTTTGAAGTTACCTACTGTGTTAACAAAATTACAACTTAAATTTACATCAGAACACGTTTCCATCAACATAATACCTATTGAGTATCTCTAGTTATCTAGCATATACCCTATTTGGTTTTTTATAGTATTCTTAAAGTCGCTCAGTTCACTGTTAACAAAATTACAACTTAAATTTACATCAGAACACGTTTCCATCAACATAATACCTATTGAGTATCTCTAGTGAAATAGATGGTAATCTATTTGGTTTTTTATAGTATTCTTAAAGTCACTCAGTTAAAGACATTCTGTGAGGGTTTCACTGTATACAGCCTCCTTGTTGACAATTTGAGTGTGATGTTAATGACAACAATGTCTTCACAAAACTGAATCATTCACTTTTCTTTCCAAAATTGCAGAATTCATTCTCTACTTTCATTTCATGTCTCTAGTCTTTCTAATAACATCTTTGCTGGCTCCTATCTCCCTATCTTAGCCTTAACACTCTCCATTACGGAACTTAGATGTTGCTTTTCCGTGTGCTTTATTATCATTTTTATTTCAATGCTGACAGTGGAATTTGCCTTTTGTTGGATGAGTGTTACTAGTCCCAAGTATGGAACTATACTTGGAACCACTATAATTATGCTTTCTGTAAATATTACTTAATTCTGTATTTTGTAATGCCTCCTAAACTTCATCTTGCTACACCCTGTAGTCCTTTATGTCATCAAAAAACTGGCTCCACGGGGCTGATAAAAGATATCATATAGGAAAACATAGCAAGTGAAATCCTATTTTTAGCACAGTTAAGTCACACTAGAGTAGGCCCACTGACTCTGTGTTGACTTGGTGACTCAGCTCTTCAATAAGTTCTATTGAGTGAAATGGGCCTATTCTAGTTGTGACTTACTTTAACTAGAGTAGGCCATTTCAATTAATGGAACTTATGGAGAAGTTGAGTCACCAAACCCTCTCTGACTCAATGGGCCTACTTTAGTGCAACGTATTGGTGCTCTAAGCATCACGATTTTCTGTGCATTAGAATGCTACCGATTATTACAATACAATTCCTACCTTATGATAGTCAACACTTCCCTCTTGTTTGCTGAAAAATTCCAGAGCTCTGTGAGCTGGGGAACATAACATCATGTTAGTACAAGGCATGCATTTATTCTTAATAAAAAGAAACTGCTACAATAATCTATTATCTGTTCACATTATCATCATAATGATTATTTTTACTTCACCTTAATTATTTCAGAAACATCTTCAATATCTAGAAAATGCAACTCTCCCAGAAGGTTCAGATATACTTGAATGATACCTCATCTTTCAACAATGAATGCTTACACCACAATGCAAACAAACAGAAATAACAAACATCCAGGGAGATTTCACTTGCATTCTTCTTTCCATTTTTACCTGCAAGTGGAACTGAAAACCTTGTTGCAAAGATTATTTTTAGCACTGCTTTTCACTTTTTCTTATTGTGCTTTTATTAACTATGTATAAACCTATTATAGTAAGTTGTTATCAGTCATTATAAGAGCCAATATACTCCAACTGAAAAACGGCAGGTTAGTAAATTCCCTTCCATGGTGCAGGGACAACATATGTCCATCTCTGAACCTTGGAGGGCCACACATGCTTCTGCAGCCCTCCAAGGTTCGGGTGGGACTGTTAAACCAAACAAAAAACAAAGTCTCTTTGTGCCTCCAAATGGTTAAAAGGGTTTTAAGAAAAAAGGGGACGTGGTGTCTCAAAAGAAGCTAGAATTGCCCCCATGCTCCCCAGGGCACAAGGAGAGTTTCTGAGCCAAAATGAAGGGGGTGTTATGAAGAGGCTACATTTGGGCTCCGGGGGGGGGGGGGGGGGGGGCGCTGGACACTTCAGTCCAGACTCCACACACCCAGCCCAGTCTCCCACTCAGTCCACCAGGGAGCCTATCACAAGGGATAACAAAGGAGGAGGTGCTACCATGTGACTCCTGTGAAAGTGGGATCCTAACAGAGGCTTACGTAGTCCCTGTCAGCCTTGGGAATTGGGGGGGGGCTGTAAGAGAGAAGGGGGTTGCTCTGTCCTGGCGCATGGCAAATATAAAGGCTGACCTGCCCTCAGGGGAACAGGAACAAGAGGAGATGCCAAGGAAAGAGGAGGCAGGAAGCCAAACAGACCCAGAGAAAGGGTGAGGAGGAGTCCAAGAAGGAAGGAAAAAGGCCTCTGTGGAGTTTGCAAGTAAAGAACCAAGGTCAGATCCCAGGAATGATAAAGAAGGTGCCTCTGGACAGCCCGGGGAGAAAGACTCTGGGAATATTGGTTGGGGTCTTACTGGGCAGAATCTTCCCCGAAAGAAGAGCCAGAAGCCTCAGGGGAGTGGGACTACATTTACAAAGACAACCCCTAGAGAGGGGTTCTGGTACAGCTAAGGGTGCCCAAGGGAGAGAGGGGGGAAATATGGAAACTCCAAATTCCCCCACTGTACATCTTATTAGGCAGAGTGCGAAAGGAGGGAAGCATGGAAGGTGGGAATGTAGACCTCCACACTATGCTGGTGCAAGAGGAGACAGCAAGACCACCAACGTCAGGAGACGTCCAGGGAGAAAGACTCAGAGAATCAGGATACATGTGGGTCACTGAAGGAAACTTCTTCCCACACTTGCCCACCTTGCAGGCATACCAACCTCCATTGCTAGTGGCTATCTAGAGACAGTTGAGACCTGGACCAGGGTTTCACAGACTTTCCTAGTAAGGAGTCCAATGGCATGAACTGGACTCAGTGGACAGACATCTTCCCTCCCAGTGAGTGGGACAGGGGTGTGTGAGTGGGCAAGAGACAGTATATGGAGACTTTGGACCAGTTCCGGTACTTAGGACTAAAGTCAACCGCGCAGAGACTGCATATTGCACTATTGGGTGCTATAAAAGCTGAATTAAGAAATAAATTTAAAAAAAGGACAGAGACTTTGTACAGAACCAATTATTGTTAACCCTCTTCCAAGTTGAAAAAAAGCTAGTTCCATTTCAACTGGTTGATTCTAGAGTAAAAAAGGACAGAGACTTTGTACAGAGCCAATTATTGTTAACCCTCTCCCAAGTTGAAAAAAAGCTACAGTAGTTCCATTTCAACTGGTTGATTCTAGAGTACTGTATATGGATCACAGAATGGAGGAGGGATGCCCTGCCAAGTAAACCAGGGCTAGCGGGGCTCACAAACACCCACCATTATATAGTCAGTGCCGTGATAAAATATATGTCTAGTTCTTCCAGTATTTCCTTCCCATATGATTGGTTAACTTCTCAAATGTAGGCAAATCAACTACAAGTTGTCTAGAATTTGCACAAGGTATCTGTGGTGTCTCTGAAAAACTTGAGCGGCTTGTGTTATCTATACACAGATAAATCCTAAAGGCAAATATGTAACAAGGAATTTAAAATATGAATGGCAGAGTACACAACACGCGGTATTCTATATTTTGTTCGGAAGAGACATTTATTTTATGTTCTGTCAATATTACTCTTTATTTTAGCTACTGTGGAATACTGTCAGTGCTTCCTCTAATAGTTTAATATCTTACTCAACAATTTGCTGCCCATTTGCACCATCACAACTATGTTTATTGAACAAGCATTTCTGCCACTGTATAAAGTGTGTTATATCTCTCATAATATTCATATCTTGAATATTAATTATTCAAATGTTATTTAATAATATCTTGAATATTAATTATCTATCTTACCTATTTCAAGATGTGTTGACAGGCCACATGGTATTGCTCTTTGGCAAAAAATGCAAAGTGCAGCCAGAACAGACCAAAGCTTCAAAGCTTCCATGCTGCTGATATTCTGGACTATAAACCATGGTTTTTAAAATGCTTCCAATATGAGGACTGTGACCTTTGAAATATGGTCTATAGTGCATTTCCTATTCAAATATGTCACTGGCACAGATGCTAAAGCCCTTGTGTTTGAAATGTCAGCTTGCCAGTTTTTCTGTATCAGGTGATAGATTCTTCTCTTCTTTTACAGAGAAGAACCAGTGTAACCTATACCAACATAATTATTTGCCAGTGATCTGTGAAGTCATGCCTAGAAAACAGAAAGAATGTTATTTTATGTTGCTCAGCAAGCCTGTATTTCTCAGTCTCAGTCTCAGTCTCTCAGAAGTCTTTCAGTGCTTCCAGATGGACAGATACTAATGTTAGTAAACGGCACTGTGCAGCCATTCCACCTTTTTCTCTTCTACAGATCTGTGGTTTTAAAAAATGCAAGGAAAATGGGCATGGTTATAAGGGAAACAGGACATTGCTGATTCTTCTCTGCCATACAGTTCTCTGAATTTGGCAGGACAATCCCATAATAAAAGCATTATCTGGAGACATCCCATCTGCAACTGCAGTTACACCTGTAAAAAAACAAAGGACACATCATCACTTATTTTATTTTAAAAATCAAAACCTGAAATATGTATAGTAACATTTCATTCTATTACATAAACCAGTGAGATTACTAACTGTAAAAACACACCGTGTGTGCATGAGGTTTTGCAAAGTATCATAAATCCTAAGGCTTTATTTGTCAATCTACAAAGCAGGAATAATAATAACAACAACAATCTTAGCAATGCAGAGTGTGCAGGGACTCTATGGCTCATCGGGTCCAGCCCCTATCAAGGAGGCCCAGCAGGGAATCGAACGCCCAACCTCTGCTATCCAGCAGTGGACAAATTATGGCCTGGAATAGCCCTGATGGAACTCTCATTACTGTATTCTCTGCCTTGGCTACATTAGCTAGGCCTGATGGGACTTGCAGTCAACCACAGCTGGTGGGCCACATGTTGCCCACCCTGGAGTAAGAAATTAACAACATCATGTTCCTTTTGAAGGAAAAGCTTTGATCAGCACCAGCTGCTGGTGAAAAAACATAATCAAGTAATAAGCAGCTATACTTCCTGTAGTCCTGTAGCAGAGGACAGGAGACAGAGAAAGACACACGTGCACAGGTAGCAACTCTCCCTCTGACCTCTGCCACTTGAGCTAGGGATATGACAAAAAAAGAAGGCAGAAGCTGACTGGGCTCATGGTGCTGTGAAAAAAATCACAGCCACTGCCTCCGTCAAGTTGTTGTATTTTCCAACAGGACCACTGACCATGGGTAGTAGTGAACCCATTAAAGACAGTGAGAGGTGGGGGAAGGGCAAGTGGATGAGGTACGTGTGTGTGCGTGCGTGTGCACAGCGGGTTGGGGTGCAGCAGCAATGTGGACAATTGAAACCATGGATACTGGTTCCGTGGATATGGGAGTTGTACTTTCTTACTTTCTTACTTATTCTGCCCAGCTCCTAAAGAGGACCCAAAGCCGTTTGTTTATTTAAAACATGTCTATAGAGGCATCCAATGTTATGTACAATAGAGGTAATACATTATTTTCAAATTTAATACAATAAAAGAAACCCAATATTCAGAAACTATGATTAAAAAAAAAAATGAAAACTTAAGAATTTCAGCTCAAAAGAAAGTCTGAAGGGTTATATAAATCAAAATGATACGGTTTGGTAGTCCAATCCTGACTCAAAAATAAATTGGCTGCAGATGATCAAAATTAGGCAGAAGCCCCCGCACTGTAATAAAGCAATCCTAATTGTCAAAGAAGGCCAAAGGTCTGCACTAAGTTAGTTGAAGCTGTGCTAAATCCCCAACACACACCTGGTAACAAAAGTACTTGGAACAGGGCCTTAGCAGAAAACCTTAAAACAACAACCTCATGAATTGTGTATGGAAGCAAATAGGCACTCTGTGCAATTCTTTTAAGACATATGTGACCCATCCTGAAGTACCAGTTAAAAATGTGGTATCTTAACTCTGCATTGACTGAAGCTTTTGAATCCTCTTCAAGGGCAGCACAGCATAAAATGCATGACAAGAATACAACCTAGAGGTTACCAGAGCACAATTGACCACTGACCAGACTATTTCCTTCTGGAGACACCCACAACAGGAGGATCAGCCAAAGTTGACAAAAAGTGCCACCAAGCCACCTGGGTCTTTAATGCCAAAGGCCTTTACACAACCTAACCTCATGATGGAAGTGAAACTTCTAAGATATCAAGATTTATTTTTAAAAAGATTGTAAGTTAAGTTCTAAAGAAGAGTTAGAGACACAAAACATATATCTAGATTGGTGGTCCAGTGTACAAGTGGAATCTAGGTATAGAAAAGATAAAACAGAGGGCTTTTATCCAGAACAAACAATATTCGATAAACTAAATCTAAATTAAGAAAATGTATGATTATTTGCTAGAAATTAAAATGCAAGACGAGCTGGTCAAAGAATGTATGATTAGGTGGGCACAAAATATAGGACATAATATTGATATTGATCAATGGTTGCAAATATAGAAAAATAACATAAAGCTCACAAAATCTGTTAATTTCAAGGAGAACATATACAAGATGTTTTATAGGTGGCATATGACTCTGGAAAAATTGTCAAAGATTTATACAGAGCAGACAATATAGATAAGACAAAGAACTACTTAGTTATATATATAGCCAGAATTCTTTATGCTAAGAATGGGAAGAAATCGGAGCTACCGAAACAAGAGGAACTCATTGAGAAGAAGCGGCAGAAATGGATATTCTATCAGAAGTGTTGAAAGACTGTCCAATACAAAAGGCAATTGAATGATGGGATTTATTATATAAATGGCTTGAGTCACCAGATAGTGCTTGAATAACATAGATTTAAACTAAAATGTAACTGTAAGTTAAAACCTGGAGGGCAATCAAACTGTAGAAAAGCAGAAAGTTGATTTGATATTGCAACATGAATAGATTGGATGTCAGTACATTTTGTGTTCTCCTCCCCTTCCTTTTTTCCTCCTATATCCCCCTTTACCTTCTGTACCCAGTGCCACCAAACCACCTGGGTCTTTAATGCCAAGGCCACTTATAGAAGCACTCCAAGCAAAAACCCTTCTGTTTCAGGTGGAAGGTCAACTCTTGATACAAGAGCAGTAAGTATTTGACTCAATAAAATAAGCCATATCTTTGAATTTGTAAGACCTGAGCAGGGCTGCTAAATACAGTAGGACCCCCTTACCCAAAGGATCAGAATCCACTGATTCATTTATCCACAGCCTGAAAATATTTAAAATATTAAAAGAAAAAAATCCAGAAAAAACTATTTTCGTATGTATTACCAAAACCGCCCCCATAGCATTATCCACAGTTTGCTAAATCCATGTTTTTCAGTATCCGGGGTGGTGGTGGTGGTGGTACTAATCTCCTGCGGATATGAGGGTCGCGCTGTACCTCTTTGAGGTCACTTTTTCATAAGGTCACCATAAATTGGAAGTGACATGACTGTGCAGAAGAACCAATTGAAGGGCAACATGCTAAGCTACTGCAACAAATACAAATTGGAGCAACCAGGGCAGGCGTGTTACCACAATCTAAAATGATATAACTGATTATATTTGAAGGCCTAACAGCACACTTGGCTGGAGCTGGAACCAAGACTTGGGGAAGTCATTTTTTTCCAAACATCTTCCAGAATTCCCCCAGCCAAACAGTGCTCAATTCCCTATTCCCCATTGCAGCCTACTAAAGTAAGTTTTGCCATGCTCTGGCTGGGACCACAGAAACAGCAGCCACAGGAAACCCACACAGAAGTCAGTTTTCAATCACACTTTTATGTCCGTGCTGTGGTAAAATGTACATCACAGAATGCGGGTAAGAAACCAAACCCGGGAATGTAGTATGACTTTGTGACCTACATCATTGGTTTTTCTGTCTGGCAGATTGATGTCCACTACTAAAAAGCAGCCTGACCTATGGCTTCATCAGCCCTAAGCCATACAAACATACAGCTGAAGGATTAGAAAACCATAAAAGCATATTTGAGCTAAAGGCGAGTCTTTGCTATAGGCGTTCAGAATGTAAACATAACACATATCAACAACAAAAAGGATTTTGTTACATATTTCTTGCAAGGAACTTTTTGTTTTACTCTTTATTTCCGGGCAGCCAAGTAATCCCTCTCTTTACCCTTACCTTCATGGGGCAAGTAATCCCCCCAGGCTATGCGTTTATTCACCCACTGCATTGTTATTGTCCGCAAGTTAAAAAAAATATTCAATTAATTTTAAAAAACCTCCAGTTTATGAATGTGGGATATTGTGTTTCTGTATCCATGATTCAAAGCACCAGGAAATGGCCTGATATTGCTACACAATATCATGACCTTGTTGCCGGCAGAAGAAAAAGGACACCAATCTTTACAGGGCAGGGGGGCAGCCTGGATGCTGTCAACAGCAATGGAGCAGAATACTGATTCGCTCCGCGTTCTCCGGCAGCAATAATAAGAAACTCTCTAGCTCCCTCTAGTCCCCAATTTTAACACTCCACTTGCGATAGAACAACAATAATACGTCCTCAGGTTAATTGCGACGCATGGAGACCTTCCCAGGGTTTCCCACCTATGGAGAAGTGAGACGCGGTTTACCAGCTCCCTTCTTCGGATCCCCTTCTGGGGTGCCTCTAGGGTCACTATCAATCAGCAGGGCCGTCCGAGAATCCGGGGCCCTAGTTCTACGATAACTGTGCTTTAGTAAGGAGAAACAAGTCCCAAGGAGTTCCGTGGTCCATTCTTCGAAGTACTGTACATATGACTCGGGGCAGTCAGTTCCCAAGGAACGTGGGTGGAGCTACTGCCGGCCGGCGCGCCGTGGAGACGCCTCTCGGCTCCTCGGCGCTCGCTCCCCACCCGGCGTCTCCAAGCAGCTTGAGCATGGCAAGCCGCGCCGCGGGCCTGAGTTTCCGAGGGCTGCTCGGCTCCCGCTGCCCCGCGTTGCGGGGGTGGCAGCCGCCGCCGAGTCCCTTCCCCGGCCGCTTCAGCAGCAGCGGCGGGCCTGGCCTCGGAGGCGTGGACGAGGCCCTGCTGCGGTCCGACGGTTTCGTGGGAGGCCGCTGGGTGCAGGCGAGAGCCACGTTCCCCGTGCGAAATCCGGCCACGGGCGCGGAGGTGGCGCAGGTGGCGGACTGCGGAGTCGCGGAGGCTCGGGCCGCCGTGAGGGTCGCCTACGACGCCGGGCCCGCCTGGCGAGGAGTCCCCGCGAAGGTGAGGAAAGGGGACGAGCGGCACACGCGCGCGCACGCACACACACACACGGGCTTTTTATGAGAGTCTGGCTGCAAAAAGATCTGTTTGCACGGCGGGAAAAGCGGGTTCCCCGTTGTAGGGGGGGGGGAGAACCAACACATCGCCCGAGAATCAGATAACAGGCTACGTGCCCCCGCCCTGGTGACCCCTTGCTTTGCCTTTATGAGAGGCTTCTGCGGACGGTATGCAAAATCCGAGGCGCGAAAGCAAAGGGCGCCTCAGAGTACGTGCAGAGTCCTTTCCTTCCAGCCAGTAGGACGGCAGAGTTTTCAGGGCAGACTTGCACAGCTGATCGCGTGCCTGCCAAGGGAGAAATGAACACACTGGGTAGGGAGATCATGATTCGGCTGCTCTCCTGCTTTATTTGCACTTTTGTTTTATTATTAACGGTTTGCACTGATATTTTGTATAATATGTGAGAAAGATGGGGGAAAGTACGTGTGCTAACTATGATAATATTTTTATGTTTCGAATGTGTGGCTGATACGAGATTGTAGATTTTTTTATTGGGATGCAGACAACTGGCCCATCAGGGCTACTCTTGGACCTTCACTTGTAACTTAGTGGTGGTAATGTTTCTAAACCTTTTATAGTAGTGACTGTTTAAATAAACAATGACAGATAATAGTCCTTCCTAGTTGTTCAGCACAAAATACACAATTTGGGAGGGGGGTTGGGTCACTGAGTGGACCATCACTAAGGCTTTGATCCGACATGTACTGCTTTCCTGGACAAAAGGCCTTTTGAAGGACTGGCTTCTGAGTGGACATGTATAGGCTTGATTGGTCAATTATTTAAAAGTCTGTGGTCTTCAATTTTTTTTTACATTTTTGTTACATACAATTTTATCTAGCTCTAATGAAGTTTCTGGTGTTGTCTTACAGTGCCTCCCCATGTCTTGACATATTTAGCTGTGAATCTTCTATAAGAACTGCCTGCTGTCCTGTGGCTGGCATTAGACTTAGTACCTCCTTCACAGGATTTTTGGGGAAATAAACCAGATGAAACACTCTACAATGCTGGCAGCCCATGGCCAAAGCAGAGTGAGCACTCACACCCCTCTCATTCCATAGGCTGCTGTGCTGACTCATGGGTGATCTTGAGTAACCTCACACTCTCAAGCTTAACTATCCTCATAGACGTGTAAAGAGAAGGAGGGTCACGAGGGTCACGTATACTACCTTGAGGTTACTGGAGGAAAGAAGGGATATACTATATGTAACCAATATAAAACACTTCACATCTATAAAAATGCTCTGAGTTGGAGTAATATTAGTAATAATAATGCTAACTCATTTTTGTTTTCCAATGAATGTATGAAAAGGTGTCTCTGATAAGATATTATTTCTCATTCAGGAAAGAGCTGCTTTACTTCGTAAATGGTATGATTTGATGATAGAGAATAAAAATGACCTTGCAAGGATCATTACAGCTGAGAATGTAAGTAGAAACAGAAGGAAATGCATTGCTCTAAGACTGTAGGGCCAAAACAAGCTTGCTTGTTACAAGAGGCTTATCCACTAAAGCAACTGGTGAGTGTTGTTCAGGTACCCTCCCATACTACTGGGTGTCTCACAGTTTCCCACCTGTGCCAACTATGGTATTGTTACCTTGTAGACTGATAATTGAAATTGTCCATAGCCTGATAACCTATTCCTTTCTTAACGAACCACTGTCACTTTGTCCATTATTGGTACCCCATGTAATGGGGCCATGTATAACTATGACAGCCATTTATTTATTTAACATATTTTTATCCCACCTTTCTTTATTAAAAGACAGTGTTTAAAGCTAAAACAAGTAGTAGTAAACAAGTAGTATTTGTGAGTAGACAAATACTAAAAAGGATCAAAAAGACCCCACACTAAAAGATGGTAAACAAAAGCAACACTAAAACATATTCAAGGCAGTAATCCACAGCCATCCATTTAAAATTCCCATTCAGGTAGCCCATCAATTAAGAGAAAGCTTGTCTGATGAGAAAGGTCTTCATCTGCTTACAGAAGGACAGCAGTGATGACACAGCCTGGCCTCCTATGGGAGGAAGTTCTGAAGCCTGGAAGCAGCAACAGAGAAGGCCCTCTCTCATGTTCTCACCAAAAGCCCTTATGAAGGTGGTGGAACCGAGAGAAAGGCATCTCCTGTTGATCTTGACACCCAGGAAGGCTCATAAATGGAGACACGGTCCTTGAGATAATTTGGACCCAAACCATTTAGGGCTTGGTAATTTAGAATCAGCACTTTGAACTGTGCCCGGAAATGGATCAATAACCTGTGGAGCTGCTGTAACAGGTGGTTATGTGATCCCCTTAACCAGCCCCAGTTAGCTATCTAACTGATGAGTTTTGTACCTGCTGAAGATTCCTGATACTTTGAATAGGCAACTTCATGTACTACTACTACTACTACTACTACTACTACTACTACTACTACTACTACTACTACTACTACTACTACTACAAGGGAAGGGTTCCTGAGCTGGTAATAACAGAAAACAATTGAAAGTATGCAGGTACTATTTAAGTCATTATAAAATGAAAGGCATGAGCATAGAATCTTGAATATGCAATCCAAATACAGTACCTCCATGTGTGTCTGTAGGTCATTGTAAAAGGTCACCTGTTCAAGTATAAAGGGTAGAGTTTGTACTTGACTAAAATTCCTTTAAAGCAAACTACTAGTGTTTGGTAGGGCAATACATTTATGAAAAATGAGATTCTTTTTAATTACATTATTGGAATGAACTAATGTGATAATATAAATGCATTTACCTTATTTCATTATTGTAATCATTTTGTTAAATATATGTGTTTTTTTTACAACTTGGTGTATGTGTATGGACATCTCCATTCTGAACCTATCACAGGGGAAACCACTAAAAGAAGCACAAGGAGAAATTCTGTATTCTGCTTCCTTCTTGGAATGGTTTGCTGAGGAAGCTCGGCGTGTTTATGGTGATATCATTCCATCTTCTACAAAAGACAAAAGAATCTTGGTTCTCAAGCAGCCTGTGGGAGTTGCTTCTATCATTACTCCTGTGAGTTAAATGCTTTCTATGTCATATATTTTTATTTACTAGAATGGACAGAATTAGTGGTGGTCCGAGCCCAGTCTGTGCAGTGAAAACCCAAATTTTGCATGCAATGTACATATTACCCTGTTTCCCTGAAAATAAGACCTAACCTGGAAATAAGACCTAGTATGATTTTTCAGGGTGCTCCTAATATAAGCCCTACCCTAAAATAAGCCCTAGTTAAATGAAACTCCCGCCCTCCACCATTATGCAGCATTGTGCAGCAACCAGAAGAAGATGACATGACTGTATTTGAATAAATGTAGATGGTTGTACATGAAAATAAAATAAAACATCCCCTGAAAATAAGCCCTTATTGCAATGTTGGAGCAAAAATTAGTATAAGACCCTGTCTTATTTTCTGGGAAATGGTATATTGTAAATAATATGAGCTACAGCTTTTTAGCAGGGTACACTATGTTAAATGGCTGGATAGTTGACTGGCTGGATAGCTCAGTGAGTTAGGTTTCTGATTGTGGAGCCAAAGGTTAGACGTTCACTTCCTCACTGTGCATCCAAGACGACTCAGTCTGTGTGACCTTGGGGAAGCTGCACAGCCCCAGCTCGCACACCCCTCCGGAAGAAGGGAATGGTAAAGCACTTTGGAATACTCTTTACTTAGAAAACCCACAAAAGTGCCACCATGTCAGAATTGACTTGATAGTACAGAACAACAACAAACCGTTCTAGTAGCTGTGAAAAGCTCAGAAACATCATCCTTCTGTCACCAAGCAACTGTACCCTGTCCTCCTTTCTAAGCACAATCCTAATCGGTCAAGATGGTCAAAGGCCAGCTAAGCCAAAACTGAGCCAGCCATATTACTTTTCAGTGTAGAGGTACTGGAAATGTTTAAGGTGTTCCATCTCCTTGATCTAGCTTGATGTCAAAACAAGTGACACAAAAGGCATTTGCCTAAGCCCTAACCCTTAGTGATCAATGCATTGTTGAGTTAAGATTAAACTGATGTTTCTCACAGGCAGTGAGAATTGTACAGTACTATGTTGAGTACATTCAGCCTGTCAGTTTATTTAATACAACTGTATCGTATCTTCCAGGAAAGAGTAGACAGCTTGTGAAAGTTGCAAATACCCATTTAAGTTGCAGTTCAAATAGCCAAAAAATGAAAACCATTAAGAAACAAAAGCAACACAAATATTAAACAAAGAGAAGGATATCAACAGCATTCAGTAGCAACCCGAGAAACAGTTTTAAAGAATTTCAAGTTCATTTAAATCACCAACAAAGAAAGTGCATGTATATCCTTTCTAGGGAAGGTAATTCCCAAAGTGTGATCCAGAGATCTTTCTGTTACTTGCTAGTCTGATGGTTAATGACAGCACACCAGAGAGCAGGACTTCAGAGCTTAAACTTTTGATCCTCAGGCAAGTCCATATGGATGCCCACAATACTTTACACTATCTTATATTGTAATGTTCAGAGCTAAAAATTAAAAGGTTATTATTTATAGCTAGCTAATTAAAGTGGAGTTAAGATGCCACATGATTGCTGGGCGGGATGGGTTTTTTTAATGGGTGGTGGTTCCCAAAGATATTAAAAGCCAAGAAATGAACAGATCAAGATGCAGTCAATGCCTCTTATTTTGTTCTGAGTCTTATTTTCCCTTAACGCTTCAGAAAATGCTAATTATTTTAGTGCACTAGATGTTCTAATCCATTTAGATGTGTGCATTTATATTTTCTGTGCAGTGGAATTTTCCAAGTGCTATGATTACACGCAAAGTGGGTGCTGCTTTGGCAGCTGGCTGTACCGTGGTGGTGAAGCCAGCAGAAGACACACCTTTATCTGCATTAGCACTCGCTGAGGTGAGCTTTTTATATTGAGGAATTGAGGATAATGTTTAATGCAGTTATTGAAGGCGGGCAGTCAGAGGCGACTTCCAAACATTTTTGTCAACTGATTCTTAAACTGCAAGTCAAGGTTGCAGTTAGAGGCCTTAATGGAAAGGATCAAACTCCTAATAAATTTTCTGACCAAACAAACTGCAACAGAGCACAGAGCGCTACTCCTGTCCTCTGAAGATGCCGGCCACAGAGACTGGTGAAACATTAGGAAGAACGACCTTCAGAACATGGCCAAAAAGCCTGACAAACCCACACCAACCATTTCTGACTGTGATCGGAAAGTTTGCCTAGCATTGCCTTTAGTTTCTATTCAGTGATCCTTGAAATATTATTTCTGAGTTTTGTGTGTTTTTGACAAAGCTAAGCACTCGATTCATCCTTTTGTTGAAGAAACTTTTTAGGGCAAGTTTACAATTTAGTGTCACACGTTCATTGTCTCTCACTGCAGCTTGCAAATCGAGCTGGAATTCCTGCAGGAGTATATAATGTTGTTCCATGTTCAAGACAACAGGCAGTACCTATCGGGGAAGTGATGTGTACTGATCCCTTGGTCTCCAAAATCTCTTTTACTGGCTCAACAGCCACAGGAAAGGTATGCCAGATATCTTTAAAGTTTTGTACTCTTAAGCTTTTAAATCTTCTCAAGTTGAAACTGAAATAAATCTGAAAGGCAGTATGAAACAAAGATGCACAGGCTTCAGTTTTTAACTCAGTCTTCTTTGATAAACATTTGGAGATGCTGGAGAAAATCTGTTTGTTTCCCCAGGGTTTTAAAAATTATTATTATTATTCTGAAGTATCCAATACAGTGACTGCTAATACCACCGTTCTTGAGTGAATTAAATTTTGCTATTTTTTAAATATGAATCCTCTTTACTGTTACATGATAGTATTGAGCCAGTGGTTTACACAGATGTCTTCTGTTCCTTTCTTAACATGTATTCCAAAGTCTGTTAAAATCTGTAGTCACTTTTCATTTGGGTATACTCATTTGAGAACAATTTTTAATGTATAGATAGTGATAGAGAAAGGGGCAGTGTTAAGCATTCTCCTCGAGTCTTGTTACTTCTAAAAACATTGGTTTTAATCAAATGTTGTGTCCATTGCAAAATAAGCAATAGAAATACAATGTAATGCTATTGGGTGGATTAAGAGCAAAAAAGAAGCTCCAAAGTCTTTGAGATCTAAATTTGTCCTTTAGGAAGATGCGCAGGCACTTTTGCAGGAAAACTATTCCGTTCGACCACATGCCCATTTGGCACCAGGAAAACTGAGTTTGTATGTTCATCTTGTACAGCTTTCTGTGTCTCTCGTATACTTGCAGGTCCTGTTGCACCATGCTGCTGGCACTGTGAAGAGAGTTTCCATGGAGCTTGGAGGACATGCTCCATTCATAGTGTTTGATGGTGCCAACGTAGACAAAGCAGTTGCAGGAGCTTTAATGTCTAAATACAGAAACTCTGGCCAGGTGAGATTAAGTGCTTTTCTCCATTCAATATAACAGAGGTCATATTGTTTTCACTACATATGTGCCAGTAATTTCAGGAATGCTATTGAATATAATTTGATTGTATTTTGTATATGGGGAAAATGAACTAAGAAAACTCTGTTCCTTTCTCTGTATCTATAAAATATTTGAAACATTGAAAAGAAAATATTTTATCAATTTAGAGGACAACCCAGCCCAGTAAGCTGTAAAAACATATTGATTTCACTGTCATCATTACTGTCTAGTGTGCTTGGAAGTAAGTTTTATTGCTTTCATTGGGGCTTGCTTGATAATAAGCATGCATGGAAGCATGTTTTTGAAAAACATTCAAATCCTGGGACAAGAGAAGTAAGAGAAAAACTTAATGTAAAGACTATTAGATTACCATCTTAATCCACGGCCTTAAAATGGAAGGCAGTGCATAGACTTTTACCTGGACTTTTAATCTCTCTTTTCTTGAATTTAAAGACTGATGTTCCCTTGCTTAGGCTTCCCTCTGTCCTCAGCATTTCTAGAACTGTCACATTGCAGTTGGTTTCAAATCCAGTGTTGTTAGTTACTGATGAAGGCAGAAGTGAAGTATTTCCTTCTGAACTGCAGTAGATTACAGCCATGTGAAATTAAAATGTGATAACAGCATGCTTCATGGCTTCCGTTAAACTCAGGCAGATGGGGGTAGGTGGAAAACGGGGAAGTGATTTGGCTAAAAAAGAGCTCAAGAAAATATGAAGACTAGTATTCTTGCCTTTCTCAATTCTTAGTGACTAATGTTTATGTTCATAGCAGGTGGGTGTTAGTTACAGGTAAGGCGGCCAAAGGGTGTGTCAAGGCAGAGTGCAGGAAGAACCTCAAGCTATCTGTAATAATAGTAGCCAGTTGCTATTTGTTGGATCACAAGCCATTAGCAAGTTTAAAAAACCAAGCACTTTTTTGTTCTGTCTCCAGACCTGTGTATGTACAAACCGCTTCTTGGTGCAAAAAGGGATCCATGATGCCTTTGTAGAAAAATTTGCACAAGCTATTAAGAGAGAGCTACATGTCGGTAATGGACTTGATGAAGCAACTACTCAGGGACCACTAATCAATGAAAAAGCTGTGGAAAAAGTAAGGATTGTTTTTTACTTTATTTTATTGTATTGTATTTTATTAGAGTTCTACCCCGCCCATCTAGATCCAAGGTCTATTCATTTATTTTACAGAGGAATATGAGCATAACTTATTTCAAATCATGTTTATTCTCTGTGACTATATAATACTATAATAAAGTACAAAATTCTACTCTGGAAATAGCCCTTTTGAGAGGGATCCCAGTCTATGTTCCTTGTGTTCCTCTTAGGTTGAAAGGCACATTCAGGATGCCGTCTCACAAGGCGCGTCCATAGTGACAGGAGGGAAAAGGCACAGCTACGGGAAGAATTTCTTTGAGCCAACTCTACTCAGCAATGTCACCACGGGCATGTTGTGTGCCCAAGAGGAAACTTTTGGTCCGTTGGCCCCAGTGATCAAGTAAGCATCGATTCCACAAACCACACAAAATAATTTCTCATATGATTGTTGCACTCTGCTAGACAGCAGCTGTTGTATGATCCCTGTTACCCTACCGTGGGACACACCTGAGGACTAGCTAGGTTGTAATAAGCATGCTGCATGCTTTTCTTTATATGAGATGGCCTCTCAGAAAGAAACCAACTGACATTTCTGTACACACAATTCCCCCTAACCATCACTGAGTTAAATACTATGGACAGAATACACGTCTGGATCCAAAGGCATGCTTCTACTGGATTCTTCTGCCTTTGCCAGCAGAATGAGGAGGACTATCCTCTTCCCTCCTGCAGCCTCCCATGTGCCTTAAAAAGCTGCTCCAGATTTTTTTTGGGGGGGGGGACCATGAGAGACTTCAGGGGAGAGGGCAAGAGTATCCAGATTCCACTAGCAATAGACGAATGCAACACAGGTACACTAGGGTCTGGAATGATCCATTTGAACAGTTAGCTCTCCTGATGCAAATATCCTCTGTGTGATTTACAGAGTTGCTACCATGTTTTTTAGAACTGTCCAATCGTGGAAATGGATCAGAGTTTGCCCATTGTAGTAATGGTTTGCTACTCTTTCACATTTATATGATAGTCTGGAAGAATTTATTGGAGAAAGAAAGCCCATTTGGCTTGCATGGATGAAATAGGTCTTACTTTAAATTGATTAGAAGAGTGCCCCTTCCCAACCTCAGACATAATGGCTCTCCCAAAAAGAATCCACCCACAATTATGTGTTTTAAATATATAGGAGAAAATGGGTACTTATTTAGGTTTGTTGTGTTGACTTGGATTTTGAGATAGTAAACTAAACTGTTTAGTAAACTATGAACTGTTTTTACAATTATTTTGTTGAATGTTGAGATATGTTAATCAGATTCTTGAATTTTACTTTTTACCCAATGCCATTTAAGTTAGTTGTTTAGTTACTCAAAGAAGATGATAAGGTTTTTTTCTTGAGGAGTTAAGAGAGCATTTTGTGTGTGTGTGTGTGTGAGAGAGAGAGAGAGAGAGACTGTGAAAAGATAAACACAGACATACTTGGGAAGATAAGGTTTGTTCACTATTCCGGCCCTGTCATTCAAAATTTCCACCATAGCAGCCTCTGGCACCAGCTCTGTTTTGTGTAGCTATAGGCCAAATATTACTTCAGCAGGTTCTCAGGAGGATGTCTTAATACCTGAAGTAATTAAGTACTAACGTGTTGCAACTGTTTACTCACTGGAAGACTTTGTCTGAGTAATACCATGGTGTTATAGTTGTGACCATAACAACACACATTCATCAGCATTCTGTTGCTGTTGTAGTAAAATGCAGTATTTAATGAAGTTGGCTGCAAATATATACATTTGCTTCATTGTGTTTAATTGATTGTTGATTGAAAGTATGCCAAATATCTTTGATATTTAACTTTTATCTGGTTGAAGATTCTTCTATCTTTGTTTTAACCCAATGAGGACATCTTCACAATATATTGATCTTCCCAATATGTGTCATTTTTAAAATATGCAGATGTATTACTGATGTTGGACAACATCACTCACTTAACTTAAAGGAAAATTCTGGACATTTCTCTTACCAGAAGTTATAAGAATACTACTATATATTTTATGTGTACATTCTTTGCCATTTCTTTCAGTTCCTATTAATGCTGTTTCTCTATATTTGTAGGTTTGATACAGAGGAAGAAGCTCTTGCCATAGCAAATTCAGCTAATGTGGGTTTAGCAGGTGTGTTCCTTAATATATTGTTTCAGTTGTTTATTAAAGTTAAATCCTTCTTTTTTGCTGGGAATGGCACTTGAGAGGCTTCTGAAACAGAAATGCAGTTAAAACATGAAGGAAGATTAAAACAATATTAAAACACGCTAAAAAGAACAACACCCAATCTTTTCCTGTTGGCAGAAGGACAACAGAGGGGAGTATAACTACCCTAACATTGGTTCATCCTCATTTTGATTGATACTAGCCAGAGTCTTACTGAGAGTAGAGGTAAGGTCTGTGTAATTTGTCACAACTAATTCCCACCAGTTAACAAGATGTGGAGGGTCCCTGTCACATTACTGATCCAAATTTACAATCAGAATATTCCCTGGCACGTTGTCAATTAACTGTGGATAATTATGGAAACCTTCCACGAACACCAGTAGGATTCTGCCATCAAGATCATTTGCTGTCACCCTTGTTCATTGATTACATGTTGGGCCTCTAAGACAATAAGCAGGGAATTCCAGATCCTGGGAATAACCACCAGGTGTCCCTCCCACCCACCCAACCTCATGGCCCCACCAAATTACATCTGACCATACAGGGGCCCTTTCTTTTGCTCCCAAGAATCTTAAAACCCATGAAAGCACATTTAGGAAAATTAAGTCTTTCATTGTATCTTGAGTGGGTGGTGTGAGTTTTAAATATTGGGAGTTGACAGTTGGGGCATGATTCAAGCTACCAAGATATATAACTTTTCCTACTAGGCTTAGAATAATTGAAAAGAAGAAAAAATCTTCCACAGAGGTTTCGGTTACAAAATATAATGTCATTCTGTTTGTCTAATGTCCCAATTTGCAGGTTATTTTTACTCTCAAGACCCTGCACAGATCTGGAGAGTTGCAGAGAAACTGGAGGTTGGAATGGTTGGCATTAATGAAGGAATTTTGTCTGCTGTTGAGGGCCCTTTTGGTGGTGTGAAACAATCTGGGCTAGGAAGAGAAGGTTCCAAATATGGTATTGATGAGTACTTGGAAGTAAAATATGTCTGTTTTGGGGGGTTATAATAACAAAGAGCTATGTACAACATAGGGCTAGAAAACAAATATTTTGGAACATTCATAAATTTTGTGTTGTTTTTGTGCCCTTGCCCTGAAATAGGATTAATCATGTTTATGTGTAGAGATGTCTTTCCATTGCTCTAGGTAAGTATATAAAACAACAATTTTGAAATTACACCTGCACAATAGCGTTGTAAGAATAAAGGTCTACTTTTACCTATGTTATTGTCTTAACCATAATGCAGGAACAAATCATGTTACTGAACTTATTTCAGAGAAATATGGAAAAGTTTACTAACTGTGCCATGTATCTTTTTCTTAAGGAACAAAGTAGGAAAAAGTAGGAAAGTAGGAAAAAGATTTTGTTTCTTCTTAATGGTGGACCATTGCGATAGTAGCTGTATTTTGAATAACTGTGCCAGATACTGAATTTTCAAGGGCTTAAATCCAAATACTAGCCAGTCAACAACTTTTTATGTCCCATTGATTTCATGGGTCTGTTGTAGCTGGAACTAATAATTGGATCTAGACCATTGTCATTCTGATGTAACTTTTTAGTGGTTGTTTATTCTGTAATGCTGGCAGGGGAGAAACATTCTACTGTGTTCAGCTTTTGGCTGGAGCTCAAGTGTCCTTGCAGGTGTACATAGAGATCTGACAAAATATTTGCAACAGGGTTTAAGCATCTTAAGTTTCATGCCTGATACCTGAGCCTTGCAACCAAATGTTACACCTTTACATAATAGCACAAAGGTATGGCCCAAAACCCACTTTCTTGCCTGGAAGAGAGTAGACCCATTGACTCAATTGCTGAATGGTGAATCAACAATTAAGTGAATCTGACCAAATGAGTCTACTCTAGCTGGCACTGTCAGTTGTGTTCAGGTTTTGCACACAAACCATTTTGTAGGAAGACCTCTGGCTCCTGTAGGAGAACCTGTAACGTCTCTTGGAACCTCCAGGTATTCCTCACAGCACGAAAGGGAATCTCTTGAGATTTCATTGGGGCAGTAGGTATATAAATGAGCACAAATGCAAAAGAGATCCATTCAGACTTGACTGGGTCAATGGTAACATATAGAAGCAGATACTTAACTTGAAGTGTCACAGTACATGGCCTCACCGTTTCCTAACCACTGTTTACCCTAATGTCTGTTCTCAAATCCCCAGATATGGATGACTGCTATTTAAATAAATATTTCCACTCTGAAAGGCCAGCCTGCTTGTCTGTGGTGCGGCCGCTTCATTCTGGAGGTGCATGGCAAACAGGGAATATAGTTTTAATCTTAAAAACAGTAAAACCTTGCAAGATTAGGAGGATCCCCAAAACTATGTGTTATACTTAGGAAGAGAATAATTGAGGAGGGTAATTTAATTAACCACTTTACTTCCACCATTGAGGAGTTCTCTTGATACCAAAATAAAGCTTTTTTGATGCCCACCCTAGCTCTGTTGCCTGCAGAAATTGAAGAGCAGTCTAATTTGGCTGTTCCGCAGGTCATTTTTCTATGAACTACTATTACATTTAAAGATAAAAAGATTAGCGTAACAGTGGCATAGTAACAGGGATACATCAAAATGAATATTCAGTTTCTTTACATGAAAAATTTCATACAGTGGTCTGTGCAATATGTTTGAAAGAAACTTTGCCACCTTTTTTTAAAGCTTCAATTAAAAGTTTCCTGCGCACACACATGAGTTCTGAGGCTCCTGTGGATCCTCGGAAAAGTTTTGGAGGCCTTGGGGTGGAAGGGGATCCTTGTGATGGTGCGAGGATGCACCAGCAGGATTCCAGCCACTGTGTCTGCTGTAGCTTGGACTAGCAGTAGGACACTGGCCATGAACCGCCAGAATCTGTGCCTTATTACAGATGGTCAAAAACAGTTTGAGAGGTAGCAGAGAAACTTACAGGGGACTCTTTAAATTCCTTAAAAAGCAATACGAAGACCAGCCCTTAGCCACCTCCCCAAGGATCTAGTCAACCATTGTCAGCGTTCTTACCACAGTAAGGAAAATAAAACGCCAGTTAAGAAGCACAAGTAGTCGCACAGGGTGCATTAAGGTACCACTACCTTCTTGTCTAAGAAATTTTCTCTAAGACTGGAGCAAGTTGGTGTTATGCATTGAATTTTAGTGTGTATGTTTTCTTTTGTATATACAGTACATGTATTTTAAAATTAATAGTAGAAAATAATTGAATTGTTTGTTTGTTGCCTAGGAAGTGTGTTTTATAAGTATGATTGTTGAAAACAACTATTGTTTTAATAAATGTTTTAACATGATATGCAAACCTCTTATCCTTTAAATCTTTGTTACATTTCATGAAATTCCCTGATACATAGGATTTAAAAGGTATATCTTTTAGCACACAGACATGCATAAAGGAAGACTATAGCCAGCCTCATTTTCTCACTTATCCTTTAAATCTTTGTTACGTTTCATGAAATTCCCTGATACATAGGATTTAAAAGGTATATCTTTTAGCACACAGACATGCATAAAGGAAGACTATAGCCAGCCTACTCACTCAAAAAGGAATGTCCATGTGGGTACAGCTCTCATCACCTACTTTGTTTGCCCGTGCATTTTTCTCCCAGACCACCTGCTTTATTGGAAATCTATTGAATAGGCAAATAATTTCATAGGATTATGAGGTGTGGGAATGCTGGGGAACAGCAAACCTCCCCTGTTTTGATGTATGCCCTATTATAGCAGAGTTAGTTAACTCAAAGAATGGCATCATTAGTGGGATTTAGGGCATCTGGTTTACACTGCATTAAAAAAGCAGCATAAGGAAGAATACTAAAACACACCAGCCATAGCCCTGTTCAAGGATGTGGCATGATTTTGCAAATCTTTTCCAGTTAAAAAGACTCGATGTATCAGTGTCATATGGTATACTCAGTCTTGCAGATGTGAAGTTTTACATAACTAAAGTGGTAGTGACCACACACAACAGAAAGATAGATAGCTGCAGACAAGAGGAAACTACAGAGTTTGTTGAAGTACATATTTTATTCTAGATAGAAAACCCCCAAAGCAGCCACATGAAACTTGAACATCCTTGAGGCAGCCTTGGGGAAAGGTCAATTTTTTTCAGACATACAGAAAATATAACTCACTCACACACACACACACACACACACACACACACACACACACACACAATTCTTCAAAGATTCAAAAGAAGTCCACACTGCTTCTAGCTGGTATGAGCAAGCAGACCTTTGGAGAGGGCAGTAAATTGGCCATGGGTCCTAGCTCTGAACCTAGCAGTTCGAAAGCATGTAAAAATGCAAGTAGATGAAATAGGTACCACCTTGGTGGGAAGGTCACGGCGTTCCATGTCTAGTCATGCTGGCCACATGACCACCGAAAGTTCTTCGGACAAACACTGGCTCTACGGCTTGGAAATGGGGATGAGCACCACCCCCGAGAGGCAGAAATGACTGGACTAAATGTCAAGGGGAACCTTTACCTCCCACAAAACCCACTGTTGCTTGCAATGCAACGGGACATTTGAATATGATTGCAGAAACATTATTTATGAAATGCTACTCAGTCTTACATCCAAACATGAACCCAGGCTCAGATCTGTTTTATTTTAGCAAGGTTGTTGTGTCATGTGCCTCTGCCAGTGACCATGCTAGTTGGGAGATTCCAGACTACTGTGTACTACAAAAAAGTAACTTTTTCAAGGCCTGACTTTCAAGATGGTGTCCCTGGGATCAGTTATGAAATGAAATGAACTGTTGCACATTCAACTGATATCAAGGTTGTAACCATACACTGATTTAATAACTAATGTAACTTGGCATACTGACAAAAATAATTTCATATAAATGCATAGCCACTAGTTTCTATGGAAAACAATATAAGGAAGCTTTAATATGCAAATCTCGTACTGTAACAGTCTTGACTTGGACCGGAGTCATAATGTCCAAATGTCCATGAGATACTATATGGATACCTTCTCCAGTTATTTAGGCTTAAAAACCATTCCATCTTTCCTATGTTGTTTCTTGACAGAACAATTAGTTGTGTCCATTTCCTTCCTTGCATTGGTGTCATTCCATCTGCAATTGGTATGGTTTTAACATATTATCAGAGGAAGGACTGGACTTTCTATTCATCAGTGTGTCAGATCCATATGTCCTTTCAATGCAGCCTATCTGTTTATCTGTCTTTTGAGCCATAGCTGAAGGAGACACCATTTTTAATGGAACCATTTGTGCTGTTCCTTGGCTTCTCTCTTTCTCTTTTCTCTCTGCTGAAGATGGTGTCCTGATCACTATCAAACTCAGACTCAGACACCATCAGGCTGGAATTGTGTTCCGTACTTCTGTGTTTTATGCCTGAAATGAGAAAGAGACACAGAAGAATCCTTATTAGCCTGAACTACAATCTGAAAGTTCTCACAAAACATGTTTTTTCTGATAAAAAATTAAAAATTCCACTAAAATGGTGTGTGTCAAATGTTCTACTAATATTCTTTCTGATGTTGCTGCTGTTACCACTTTCCCATACATAATGTCCCAGAATGGTGCTAAGTCCAGAACACTGTGGAGGAGGCAAAATCAAATCATCATGGTCACTTGCAAATACAGTGGTGCCTTGCTTAACGAGCGCACCGTATAACGATTACATCGCATAGCGATCCGTTTTTTCGGATCGCTAATGCGATCGCACAACGTTTTTCCCATAGGGAAAAATTCGCTTTGCGAAGACCGGTAAGCGTTTCGCTTACCGATCTTCGCAAAACGCCCCCCGCCGATCAGCTGTTCGGCGGCCATTCAGCTTCGTTGAACGGTGAGTATTTGGCTCATTTGGAACGCATTAAACCATGTTTAATGCGTTCTAATGGGCTTTTCTGTACCGTTTAACGATGCTTCAGCATAGCGAAGGTTAATCCGGAACGGATTAACCTCGCTATGCGAGGCACCACTGTATTTAAGACTATTAACAATGAGTGTCTAACACTATAAGGATCAATGAATACAATCCCAGAAAACATGAACAGCCTGCTTGTGGAGGAGGCAAAATCAAATCGGTTGCTGCTGCCAACATCATGGTCACTTGCAAATACACACATACAGGAAGAAAAAAGTTGTGTTGCTGGCAATGACGACAGCCCCATTCCTGGGGGAAATGCTGGAGAATTTCTCCTCTCTCGGAGAAACTCAGTGAAGGAAGTAGGATGGGGCAAAGAATTCCAAGAAGCTGTTGTGAAACTGAACTACTATCAAAGCAGATCAACTGCACTTGTAGCTAAATGAAATCAAATGTTTACAGTTTTAGAAAGTGTACACAATGCAGAAAAGCATGGCACAAGCAAACAAAAATTCTTCAATGATTAGGTGTTGGGGAGAATGCAAGAGGTGATAACAGCACCATGAAGATTATTGACTGATTGTGGCAGAGCGCTGTTGTGAAACGGATCCCTGAACTACTATCAAAGCAGACCAACTGCACTTGTAGCTAAATGCAAACCAAATGTTTACAGTTTTGGAAAGTGTGCACAATGTAGAAAAGCATGGCACAAACAAACAGAAATTCTTCAATGATTAGATGTTGGGGAGAATGCAAGAGGTGATAACAGCACCATGAAGATTATTGACTGATTGTGGCAGAGATTTTAGAAGATTGCCTGTTATATAAGATGCAATTATCTCCCTCTCAAGTACAGTATATATATATTGTTTGCTTGAAATGTAGAAGTCACATGTGAATTAAAGAGACCCTTAAAAGGGGGAAAGGCAAAATAAGAAGACAAAAGAAAAATAGCATACCATATTTGGGTCTGAGCTCCATTCTCTCCTGATCATCTATGTTATCCAAAATTGTGTATTTTGTTTTCTTTCTTATTTTGGTCCTCTTTCTGCTAAAAGGTGGGGGAAATGTTAATCTCTTACAAATAACTAGCAAATGAAATGCCAAATCCCTTTACTCTGTGATGCTTCCTGAGACACAATATCTAGCAGTGTGTATATATATCTTCCCTCTTGAGTGTAGTTCATACAATTGTAATTGGGATCACCTTTTAAACTATAGGTGCCCAAAAGTAGTACCATACATAATGTAGCGCTCCATGCAAGAAGCCATTACAAGCAGCTAAAAGGAAAATAAAGGATAGTGCATGACAATGGTTACAATTCTGCTTTTTTTGGAATGTAGCCACCCACACAAATCAGCTTCTGTGAAGCTCTGTCTACACCATTGCTTTACAGTATAAGGAACCAGCAATATAGAGAGCTGTACATATGATGATGAGGCCAATCTAGTTTAATTAGTTATCCCTTATACCTATTAATAACTTGCCAAAAACAAGGTGGTGAAAAGGCAGATATTCTCCAACCCTATTACATGCCATTGAAAAAGAGAAAAAAAACCATCCCTGTTTATTGGAGAGGTGATAGAACGAGGCAAGTGTATGACCAGACCCTCCTAGGCTACGGATTTACAGTGGTGCCTCACTTGATGACGTTAGTCCGTTCCAGCGAAATCACTGTAGAGCGAAATCGTCGTCAAGTGGGGGGGAAACCCATTGACACGCATTGAAAACTGCTCAGTGTTTTCCAATCGGCTAAATACCTAATCGTCCAGCGAAGATCCTCTATAGGGTGGCCATTTCCCAGTACCTGTCTTATGAAAAATCCATCCGAAAAACAGCACGGAGCCATTTTGCACAGCAGGTGACCATTTTGAGAGCCGCCGATCAGCTGTTTTTAAACCATCGTTAAGCGAAAAATCAGTTTCCGAAGCAGGGAACTGATCATCGTAAAACGATTTTCTCCCATTAGAACAGCATTTTGCTACAGCGATCGCAAAAACCTCATCGTCAAGCAGATTCGTCATTTAACGAGGTAATCGTTAAGCAAAGCAGCACTGTATCTTTTTTTTCCAGTGGAACCTGCCTTATGCATTTGCAGGATGGCTTGGCAGAATCACACTGAACTTCTTTAAAGGAAACTCTAGGAAAGCAACGTATCCTCGTTCATACATAAAAGGCATAAGCCTGGATTCCCACAGAGCCAAAGAATTATTTAATTTTTAGTAAATATTACAACCTGTATCCTGTTGTATTATTTGATCATGGAAAGGTGGTCACATAAGTGTTTCCCTGTCTCCAACAGGTTCCCTTTGGTATGTCCAGTTTTGCACTGCTTGTGAGATTAGTCACACAACTGGTTGCATGGACAGTTGGGCAACAGTGACAGCAGACAAACACTCACAATTAGTGTTACACTCTAAATAGGATACTGATCTATGTGATTTATTAAATAAGAAGCTGTGCTACTCTGTCTCGGCATCTTGGCACAAGAAAAGAACAAGAAAACAAATAATCAATATTTTCTTTCTCCTCCCTTCTTTTGCCATTATTAAATATGGTTTACTCAATATTACATGGCTAGTACTATTATGTGGATTACAGTGATATAGACAAAGGGTGTCTTGCAGCTGGTCATGCCTCATATGATTGGAAATACAGACACACCCATTCGTTGCATGTGATTCTGAGTCAAACAGAGATTCATATATTTTATGTGCTTGGGACTTCAAGTGCAGAAACATTGTGTCTCAATATATTATTCATTCAACAAAATACACCATTATTGTTATTACCTTTTGCAACAGTGAATGCAGGTCCAGGCTAAACCCACCAACAGCACAATCAATACAAAAACAAAAGCTGTTACGTAAAGTATGCTCCATTCTATAAGACAGAAGCAGAAAACATTAAAGTTGTTAAGAAAGGCCATCAATGCAACCCGTGCATTCAAAATATTCATGTTGAAGATTTACTCTCAACAGGATTAATTGCTGGGACATTTCCTCCAGTTCTTCCCAACTTACCACAATTGCTCTCTCTGTTGCCCAGGTACCACTGAATCAAATTTTCCATCCACAGTTCATAGCAAATACATTGCTTTGTGATGGGGTCACAGTGTCCATGTCCAGAGCATTTTAAGAGGCAAGCTATAATAACAAAACAACTGAAATCATTAATATTGCATTGGGCTTTGGCATTCAGAAATGGCACTCTACTCCATAACTCAAATACATACCAGCCGTGTCAACACGAAGCACTTTAAAAGGCAAGAAGTCTATGTTTTCTTTCAAGAGTTGCAAGTGTAACATCTGGGCAACATCTGAAGCCTTTAACACTTTGGAAGAATACCCATTCTGAACATAGAACACGACAGCTGTGCTGAAAAGAGGAGGCTTATACTGTGATGTATAGCATTCAAAAGCAAAGAAATACTTTTTTCAAGCAGAATTTATGATTTGACCTTTACACTGCCTGCTTCACCATAGCAAAGAGTGTCCTTTGGAATGTAACCTCATTCCAGTCATATAAAGGTGCCAAGATTTAGCCCTTTGAAATACAAGAGGAAGCCTTCAAGTCATAAAGACTGACAAAGATTTAAGGTTTTATTCATAAAAGTATATTAGCACAGGGGGAGATGGTACCCAGTTTTTATTTTAGATATCATTTCTATCAGCAGTTTCACAATCAGACATGGAGAAATCAACTCTAGCTTTTGTTTACAATGGTGCCTCGACTTAAGACCGTCCCAACATATGACCATTTCAAGTTGCGACCAGCTCCGGCCACAAAATTTTGCTTCGACTTGCGGCTAGAGCTTTGAGTTGCAAACAGAAAAGAGGCATGGAAAAAAGGCGGGGAATTCAAACTATAGGACAAACCATTGGTCAGCAAAGAGCTTCTTTGTAGAGAGTGTGCGTCAGAGGAGGCTTCGGACTGCCTGGTGCTGCTTTCTGCTCCTGAGTAAGTACATTTACTTTGTTTTGCAGGGTGGGTTGGGAGGGTGTTACGTTTTTGTGCTGTGATGTTTTTTGGTGTTTGTGATTTTTTTTTCAGCCCCATCACGTTCCGATGGGGCTGGCTGTGTGTGGAGGGTGTTTTTGTGATTTTTTTTCAGCACCATTGCATTCCGATGAGGCTGGCTGTATGTGGGTGTGTTTTTGTGATTTTTTTTTCAGCCCCATCATGTTTTGATGGGGCTTGCTCTGTTTCTTTAATTATTATTATTATTATTTTCGGCCGGAACAGATTAATGGGGTTTCAACGTATTCCTATGGGAAATAGTGCTTTGACTTACACCCATTTCAAGTTACACCTATCTTCTGGAACGGATTATGGACACGCCCATTTCGAGTTACACCCATCTTCTGGAACGGATTATGGTCGTAAGTCAAGGCACCACTGTATTTTTTTTTTGTTTATACACTATCTTTCTCTCAGAAACTGGAACTCAAAGCTGGCTCTTTAAAAGGGATAATAATGTGATCATGTTAAATGATTGTATTAAAATCTAATTAAACCTGTCATAGTGTTAAAACAATGTTGAATTTAGAAGCCATTTAACAATACTTTTAAATATGTGTGTGTGTGTTGCTACGATATGTTAAAAGTACCTTTTTAGCAGCCAGCTGATCACCAAAAGAGGGCCCAAATAAAAAAGTCTTGGCCTGCCAACAACAGAGAGAAGCCCAATCTAGCTTCTCTTGAATAGAGGAAGAGCTTGAGAGCAGGTGGCGAATTGCTTTACATAACAGCTCAAGCCTCCACAGTCTTCAGTGAGACCCTAAACCTGCCAACTCTGAGAGAAGTCCTGTTTTCAATGTGAATTACACCCAGGTACACACAGAACAGAACTGTAGCCTGTAGGAGACAACGCAGGACACAGTGGCACAGTTTCACTACCCACATCTTTAGCCACTTAAAAATGAAGTTTTTTTAGTCTATAGTGATATGGGTCATATTGTGCCCTTAGTATTTCTCTGTACCTGATATCAGAATGAGACTGTATCTTCTGAACTTTGATATCTGAATCCAAGACATTCAGGAGCACTGCTAGCTGTCGTACAAGAGTGTCTTTCTGTTGCTCAGTCAGTTGGCCAACTCTGACTTGCAAAATCAGTTCCACAAGACTGTTTTTCTTAGGGTCTGTGAGTAAGAAAATAATAATTCTTTCAGAGCACAGTCAAGGTTATTTTAGGTGTGTGTGTGTGTTTGCACAAAGATAACCAGATTTCTAGATTAGTATTTCCTAGGAATCCCATAGTTGGCACACAAGTTGATGCCCAACAGAAAACATCTATGCTGATTTTTTAACTCGTAACAATTTGCCACCAAATGTTGCATATTTTGCATCATGATGGTGTGAAATGACAACTAGATTCCAGCTGTATTATGTATTACAAAGTATGCACACACATACATGCACACACGCATGCACGCACACACATGCACGCGCACACATGCACACACACACACACACATTGTGTATACACATGTAGGCCTGCATACATACACATACATATACAAATATACAGAAGTACTAGCCAAAGTTATTAGCTTGGCTTTGCAGGAGCCAAATTGGGCAAGTAAAAGGTACTTGAATGGCACCTGTTTTGAACAGCAATGGGGGGGGGTGGTTTCAAAACAGTGGAATGAAATCATAATGGCTGCAGCATCAGTGAGAGATCTGCCACTCAAAGTTGCAGGAGCCAAATTGGGCAACTAAAAGGTACTTGAATGGCACCTGCTTTGAACTGCAATTGGGGGAGGGAGTCAAAACAGTGGAATGAAATTATAACGGCTGCAGCATCAGTGAGAGATCTGCCACTGATAAATGAAGCCAGCATCTGAGACACGATCTGGTTACCTAGCCTGACAGATTCACTTCTCATAGAATAGGAAGGATTTGGGAGGAACACAAAGTGCAGCCTAGGCAACAAAATGTTCCTCTAAACCTCATACCAGGCTGCACTTCCACAACAGCTGTGTCGACATCTGACTCTCCTTTGTTATCCATGACTTTCAGACGAAAAGCGTAGCTTCCTTCTACAAGATTGGTTAGCTGAAGTACAGCATTGTGATCTGAACCATGTATCACATCCTGAAAAATGAAGAAAAGTAAAGTTCAGTACTGGATGCCTGCTTCTGATCCATTTTTACCTAACAGTGCAGGTGGGCAATGTACAGTCTCTAGGTCCCCAAATGTGCCTGCAACATCCATGGGACCCCAGCACCTCTCCAGATGCTGCTTTCTTCTTCTTCTTCTTCTTCTTCTTCTTCTTCTTCTTCTTCTTCTTCTTCTTCTTCTTCTTCTTCTTCTTCTTCTTCTTCTTCTTCTTCTTCGCCTCAAAAAGGTGCAGAACGTGTGAAGAACTGAGTGGAGCTTAAAAGTTAAAATAAACTTCCTCTATTATACAGCAGATACAGTGGTTCAGTCAAGAACCTATAACCAATAACAATTAGACAGTTAGAGGACAAAACAAAGGAAATAAAAACTAACTGGCTACAATTAATATAGGTAAGAAATTTGGCAACTCAATAACACCAAAGTTCCGGACCTATGAGAACGCTCACGGAACTAGAACAATATAGTATAGAAAAAGACTGAAATAAAAGGAAGGGAATAACTTCAGTAATCTATAAACATTTGTCTGAGCAAGCATTTCCCAGGGGTATGGGATCTAAAATAATGTGGGAAACTAATTTGAATATCAATATATCAGAGAAAGAATGGATGGAAATATGGACTAAATATCCATAGAAATCAATATCAGTCAAGGTGAAAGAAATAATTTTGAAGGTAGTCCACATATAACATTGGTACCCCACAAAATTACACAAAATTAATAAAGAAATCTCAGATAGGTGCTGGAGAAACTGTGGAAGTAAAGGCACACTAAAACACATGTGGATCTCTTGCCCCAATGTGGAAGCATATTGGCAGGAAATATCTGAATAGATATTTCTATTTATTTATTTGTTTATTTGTTTATTTGTTTATTTGTTTGTTTGTTTGTTTGTTTGTTTGTTTGTTTGTTTTATATCCCGCCTATCTAGTCTCATTGAAATCACTCTAGGCGGATCATAGTTGGATAAAAAAAGCTTTATTATTATTTTCCATATTTAAGGACGGAAATGAAAAATTATTCAATAAAGACCTAATTGCACATCTTATTGGTGCAGCAAGAGTTGAAATTGCACAAAACTGGAGAAACACTCAAGATCTTTCAGTACAAAAATTTGAGAACAGAATCTGGCAAATGGTCCTGATGGAAAAGCTGACCAATTAAATTAAAATATATAGAGGGGAAATAAAACAGGATAAATTTATGAAAACCTGGCAACCATTATTAACATATGGAATTAGCTCAAGAAAAGAGGAATGTGGTATGGGAAGTAATTAGGATTGCTGGCATGTAATATTTTGAAAATAAATAAGTAGGTTAAAATATGAACTAGTGGATGTATAAAGAAAGACAATCTACTGAAAGAATGTGTAAGTAATCTGATAGTATTGTACTACAATTCTAACTTGCATTGTCATACTATAGATGTTAATAAAATTTTAAAAAGAAAAAGAAAAAGAAAAAAGAACCTATAGAGCAGTTTGAGCTACAAGTCTCCCTCGATAGGCCACTCCTTATTTCTTAGTTTACCTCAACCGGTACTTTCTGTCTCAATACATTTGCTCAGCGTGACTCTGGTAATGAGAAAGAATAAAATGTTTCCCTTTACTTATGGTTCTTCATAGATTAAAAGCAAGCATCATATTGTGTACAAATTTTAACTTGTTACATCACTGAGCTTAACTCGTTGACTATCTTCATTACTGACTGACAACTGGTTAGATAGTCGACAGAACACTTCTCTGTAACTGTCTACTTCTGACAGACTCCACTGCTAACACGGGCAGATCTCTGACTGAAAAAAAAAGGCAGGGAAAGGATCTGAGGCAAAGAGGAAACAATTGTCTGTTTGATTCAATGGGCCATATTGGCCTCAATTAACATGGTAACAAATACAAATTAAAATCATATGATAGGGATAAAGAAACTCAACCCAGGGTTATTAAACTTTTAATATACTTACTCCAGCTGCCGGGCTCTGGCCATCCCGAATCCAGAGATAAGACACAATTCCTTGGTCATCAGTAGACTGTGAGCCATCCAAAGTAATCGAGTTATTAGGAAGAACAAGGATGTGTTTGCCCCCAGCATGAGCCTGGGGTGGATGATTCTTTTCTGAACAATAAAACAATTAGACAGGGAGAGGTTTGTTTTTTTTTTTAAAAAGAACAGGATGGCAATAGATATACACAATCTCTCTCTATATATATGTTGCAGAATGGAGTAAAATGCTTAGAACTGAGGTGTTGGTGGGATTAAAATCAACCCCATTATTATTTCCTGCTTGAAACAGATGGACATAGAAATTGCTTTATACTGACTCAGGCCACTAGCTTGTCTAGCTCTGTACTCTCTACTCTGGCTGGTTCCTGGCAGAAACAAAATGATTTATAACAGTAGTTCTCAAACTGGGGTCCCCAGATGTTCTTGGACTGCAACTCCGAGAAATCCTGGCCAGCACAGCAAGCGATGAAGGCTTCTGGGAATTGCAGTCCAAGAACATCTGGGGGGCCCAGTTTGAGAATGACAGATTACCCACCTGTAATAGTAGTTCTTCAAGTGGACCTCTGTGATTCACACTCTGAGTAATCCACGCCTGTGCAGAACCTCATCGGAAAGTTCTAGAGCAGTGGTGCCCAACCTTGGCCCTCCAGATGTTCTTGGACTTCAACTCCCAGAAATCCTTGCCAACAGAGGTTGTGGTGAAGGCTTCTGGGAATTGTAGTCCAAGAATATCTGGAGGCCCAAGGTTGGGGACCACTGCTCTAGAGCTTCTGCTCTAGAGCTTCTTCCCTTCCCCCCTCGTATAAGTACCTTGGCGCCAAGGCTCCCCTTTCAGTTGTGTCAACCGCCGCTAAATTAAGCAGAATGATGTGACAATGGGGAGGATGGGCGGGATGAGTGAATCACAGAGGTCCACTCAAAGATTTACAATTACAGGTGGGTAACCTGTCATTCTTCTTTGTGGCCTCTGTGAATCGCACTCTGGGTGACTAAAAACCTGTCTTACCCAGAGGCAGGGTGTCACGCCAAGGTAGAGGCTAGAACAGCACGTTCAAAGGATGCATCAGACTTCTGCCGGAGATCAAGTCTATAATGTCAGATGAGAGTGGATGGCTGTGTCCAGGTGGCAGAGGTGTAGATGTCTGGAAGAGGTACACTGTGTAGGAATGCCATAGAGGTCGCCATTGCTCTGGTGGAGTGAGGGCAAATCACCTTCAGTACTGGTTTGCGTGCCAGCTGATATGCGAGGTGAATAGCTGAAGCGCCTCATCTAGATAATAGCGACCTTTAGTAGGTGGTTGGTGACTTATGAAAACTCAAGGTGGACACCTGAAAGGTTGGGTGCGCTGGGCATAAAAGGCAAGGGCTCACCTAATGTCTAAAGTATGGAGGAGTCTTTCTTGAGTTGTGGACGGTGACGGGAAGAAGGAAGGAAGGACAAGCGGCTGAGAGAGATGGAACTGAGATACAACTTTGGGGAGGAAAGAAATATCCATGGATAGTTTGACTTTGTCTGGAAAAAACTAAATAAGGCTAGTTGTGACGTAAGGCTGCTAAATCACTAGCTCATTGAGCTGAGGTGATGGCGATGAGGAAAACTGTTTTAAAGGTAAGTATCTGTAAATCAGTTGAAGCGAAAGGCTCAAAGGAGCTTTAGTAAGTTGTTGCAGTACTAGTGTTAGTGACCATTGTGGGGAAGGCGGGCGGGTATCTGTAGATATGAAAACGTTTCAATGTTGGATGCTTGAACAAATCAGCTGCTGGAGTTAGGGGGCTGATAAGAAACTATGGCAGAGAGGTAAACTCTCAAGGAGGAGAGGGAAAGGCCGCTAGACTTGAGATGAAGCAAAAAAGTAGAACAGTAGCAAGTGATGGGTTGATAAAAGGCAATGAAGAAGTTTCAATGAAAAATTTGAATCTGTTCCACTTATACAGGTAGGCTTCCTAGTGGAGGGCTTCCTTGATTGACAGAGGATGTTCATTAGCAAGGCCGAATCCTCCACACTGCCAGGTGCAGAACAAGTAAGTCTGGGTGGACTAATTGGGTGTTGTTCTCCGTGAGGAGGTGAGGGTCCTGAAAGAAACTGAAAGGGAAGCCTTGGTGCCAAGGTTCCCATACGAGGGGAGAGGAGCCTTATTCTAATGTGTTTTTTGCTACCACAGAAGCTCTAGAACTTTCCGACGAGGCTCCACGCAGGCATGGATTACCCAGAGTGTGATTCACAGAGGCCACGAAGAACCACCACTGGTTTGGAGCAAGATCCTGGCAACCCAGAGAGAAATGGAAGAACATGACATCTAAGAAGTTCTCTTTTATGTCCTATCAGGTCACTACTGACTTACAATAATTCTTTCCACTGTTTTCTGGGTATAGAGCACTCTGCAGGGGTTTACCACTCCCTTTGCCACGAAGTGCTCTGGGATTGTGCAACTTGCTCAAGGCTATATAGACTGGCTCTTTTGAAGTGCTCTGGGACTATGCAGCTTGCTCAAGGCTATATAGACTGGCTCTTTCTCCTGGGAGGCACCGTGGAAAATCAAACTCCCAACCTCTGACTCCACATGTGGAAAATCAGACACCCAACCTCTGACTCCACAGCCAGATACTGAGCTACCCAGGAGCTACAGAACACTTGAAAAACAGAAAACAAAATGTCAGGAGCATTAGGAGCTGCTTCTTATTTGGATTAATGCTTTTGAAAGACAGGGCAACAAATCTTACCTTCCTTCACAGTCACAGAAAGTGTGGCAGTGCTGCTTAGTCCTTGGCCATCTTTCACGGTCAATCTGAAGTAATAGGTTCCAACCTCTAGACCTGATACTGTGGCTACTGCACTGTCAACATTCTCCATTTGCAAAGAACCTGGCCCACTGCAGAAAGCAAAACAAAACTGTAACTTTGGATTTAGACTCAATTCTGGGCCTCAGTTGCTTAATGTAACATGTAATTTAGCCCTGAGTAGCCGTTACAGAGCAGTCCCAGCAGTACATGCATGTATCTTTCAGTGGCCAAAATCCTGTTAGTGATTTACAAGTAGATAAGTTAACTGTGTAACTCACCCATGGTGAATTGCTCCTAACAGGGTGCCAGGTATGTGCCCAGTTACTAGATACATATCCAATATGCATGGCTAAGTAATGCAACAGGTACCTTGTGAAACCACACTCTCCACAATAAGTTACACAACTGAACTCAACACATGATGGTGTAAAATGCCGCGGCCAGAATTCTAACTGGGGTGAAGAGGCGCCAACGTATCTCCCCCACACTGGCCGCCTTGCATTGATTGCCCATTCGTTTCCAAAGTTTTTACAATTACTTATAAAGCCCTAAACAGTTTAGGACCTCGATATCTGACAGAGTGCCTCCTCCCACTCAGTTTTACCAGAGACACTCGTTCTAGCCAGGCCGGGTGATTGAGGGGCCTAACACCGAGGGAGGCCCAAAAGGAAAGAACGAGGAACCGGGCCTTCTCGGCAGTGGCCCCTCACCTCTGGAACAACTTGCCCCTAGAGATCCGCCTGGCTCCCTCTCTGGGTGTCTTTAGAAGTAAACTAAAGAACATGGCTATTTAGGCAGGCTTTCCCTCCTGCTGTATTTTAATATCTATATTTTTACATCTTGGATTTTTGTATGTTATTGGTTTCACAGTATTGTTTTTAAACTTTGTTATGCCGCCCAGAGTAGACTTTCTGTCTAGATGGGCGGGGTATAAATCTAATAAAATAAAATAATGTGTAAATCACCAATACGATTCTGGCCAGAGTATCCCAAGGTAGGTTCCCGACCCATACAAAATACCTGATATTCTCCCAGTGATAGTAAACAATGCCAACATCATCTGTGCTCATGCTTCCATCAAGAAATGCTTTCTGGACAGGAAATGTCAGCTCTTTATCTGGACCAGCCACAGCTGTCGGGGGTCTGTTCTTTTCTGCAGCAACAAAAAGTTCAATATCTAAAGTGTTTTCCAGTCACCAATGATAATCCTGTGTGCATTAAAGGGCTATTAGTTCTCTAACATAAGGAAAATATTACACTTACAAGATCCTTCCAATTTTCCTGACCACAGGGAGAACGTAGTTCAAATATCCTCACACAATGCAGATAGCTATGGACAACCCATGGGGGTGTCTTCCACTAATCTCCACAATGCATTATGACAGATCCGTACCACCCCAATGCCTGTTTTAGTAAGCAGACCACTGGTAGTCAGAACACAGAACACATGATGGCACAGTCCGTTTTCCCTCCCATTGTGAAGATCCCTCAGGACAAGCTATTTGGGGCCTGTCAGGGAACAGAGAACCAACCAGGCCACCTCTTTGCTAGCAGCAAAGCCCCTAAGTGGGGAGATACATGCTTGGCCCTCATGCTCCACCGCATCAAGTGAGCACCTCACTCTGCTTGCTGGGAAGACTAGCTTTAGGGTTTACTTCCAAGGTGGTAGCCTAAATAACATACTGAATGTGTTGGCTTATGTACATAGTTGTTCAAGAAAGCACCATTTGTCTGCTCAGTTAAGTCAAATACAGTAGAAGTCTACTTACCAGGCTGGATAATCACTGTGACCTCAGCAGTGGACTGCTGCTCAACAGAATCAGTAACAGTTAGCTGGAATGTGTAATTTCCTTCTTGCAATGAAGCTAATTTGAGGTATGGACTCTTTACTCCCTATATAATGGAGCGGGGTGGAGGTCAGGGAGATAAGAAAAAATGTTAAGAGTACAAAGTGTTTCTCCCTTTGAAAATCTGGGGAATGTTGCATGTTCTTCTTTGGTCCTGGCCATCAGTCATTATTGGATGAGGCTTATGGTACCTGCAGTCCTTCAACATTTGAAGTGCCACAGGTTCCTCACACCTGTGATTTAAATTATCTTAGTAAACAACGACACAATGAGTGCAAAGTAATGCTCATCACATAATCCTAGATACTACTGCAAACATCTACAAATTACAAGGTTTTTGCCTGTTTTCAGCAAATGCCAGCCAAGTCCTACTCCTAGAAAGAAACAAGCAGAGAACAAATGCCCAGAAGTGAAGAAGGATGCTCTCCATTTACCTCCATCACTACCATCTTGTCTTTACTTTTGGGACTCAGAGACCATTCATAGCTGATAATCTCATGATCATCTTTGCTCTGGTTTCCATTCAATGTGATGGTGTTTTGGGGCAAAGTGACTTCCTGATTTGGCCCTGCATTGGCAACTGGGGGAAAATCCACTTGTTTGTTGACTGTCAAGGAAGCCAGAGTAGAATTAAGTGCTCCATCAGAATCCATTACTGTTAACCTGAAGAAGAAGAAGAAGAAGAAGAAGAAGAAGAAGAAGAAGAAGAAGAAGAAGAAGAAGAAGAAGAAGAAGAAGAAGAAGAAGAAGAAACAAAAACAACAACATGTGGGCAATATGTACATGTAAGTGCATGCTGATCCCTACACTGAATGCAATTAGATTCCGCTGACTCAACCCCATATCCAGTGAAGAGCAAATTCACATCCCCATCACTAGTATCTGTTGTGAACCACATTCCACCCTGCTGCAACTGTGTGCCACTGAATTTTCATGCTAGTGAAAAGGGGGGGGGAATGGCATGCATGGAAGGCATGCCTTATTTTTGAAACAGAATCACACTTCCAGGACAGCCACTTCCTTTGCTTTACCAGGAAAATGCCGTTTTTAAATTTTACCTTTTTTTCTTATCTATTTGCTGCTACACCACTACATTACAACAGTAGCCGTGGGGAGGAGTCTGTCAGCATTCGGCAGGGAGGTGCATCCAGCCCATGGGATGACTATTATCCACCATGAGCTACAGCTATCTTGAGTCCTTCTTAGCAGAAGGGGAGGGGGTGTCAAAATATTTTAAATAAATAAACCAAAGCTATTCCAGTGTTTGGACTCCCTATCTAGGAAGTTAGAGATGCAAAGCACAGACCAAGAGTGAGGAGCACATGGCCATCCAGAGGTTGAACGCAACCTCCCATCAGCCACTGTCAACACAAGTAGAAGTTTGGGATGACAGGAACCGCAATCCAGCAACACCTTTTCCCTTGCAGCGCTCCTGAAAAGCTATCTCAAGGACTATGAACATCTTTAGAGTGGCAAGAGGGGCTGCATGGTTGGGGGAGAGAGGTATAATCAACTAAGATCCTTTTCCCAGCCCTTTCCTTCAATACGGAGTCTTTTTCTGGAACTTGATGCCTTCCAAAGGAGGGGGAAACCCTCCCATACACAAAGAGTTAATCTGGATCCAACATGGCACTCATTTTCACATATCAAACCAGGACATGATCTAAGTTTATGATGGCTTGTTGCTTAAGCCACAAATGAATCATCTCACAAAGAACCAATCAAACAAATTGATTTTCCCATTTTTGATCTGTTTCTCCCCTTTCCCTTTTTTGTCAACACTTGTTTCAGGATGGACAGCAGTGACAAACAGCCAGGAGTAACCTTCAGCTTTCGGTTGAAAAAACAAGTGATGGTTTTAAACCTGTTGGCCAGAATCCTAGGCCAGGGTTCATAAACCAACAACAACTCAAGGCTTCTAAACTGTGATTTCCAGCTAGCAAACAAACCACACTTTAGTTGCAGGGAGAGGTTCAGACACAAAAAGGCCAAAATTTAAAAAAACCCTGCAATTTGGCTTTCTGTGATATGTGAAGATAGCCAATCCATGTAGAATGGAGTGTTTTTTGTGAACAGAGGATCTAGCTATCCCTACATGAAGTATTCCATCCAGTGAGACTCATGTAAAAGGATATATCGCACTCACCTGAAAGTATAATTGCCAGGAATGAGGTTTGGCAAGTGTAAAGCCGGTGTATCAGCAGATGCCTTCTCTCTTAGGGGGCCTTCAATTTCCTCCCAGTGGTAACGCACTATTTTTGTATCATCGGTGCTTTCTACAGTTAAGGGAAATACCAGAATTATATCTTAATAAACTAGTGCTGTCGTGAGTCATTCCAGGTTGACTTCAAGAAAGCAGTTGCTCCCTGGTACTTACGGCTCCCATCAATGAAAGCAGAAGCTGTCGGGAAGGAAATCTCCTGAGCTTTTGGAGACACAATGGCAACGGGTGACTGGTTTTTTCTAACTGCTTTATAAAAAGGAGAAAGAAAACACATCTTTAATTAAATAAGCACAACCCATGCAACATAAGCTTTGTGCTCATTCTACGCCCAGAAATCATTTTTTTCTAGGCACTGAAGATTAAACTTTGAGCACAAGTGGTAAGTCAAATAAGTGATATTTAGTGATACCAAATAGAAAAAAGGATCCTTATGAATTAGTATAGTAAAATCATGTCTGGTATGGTGAGAAATAGTTAAATATACCAGTATAGAGGCAGTAGGAGGAAATGAAGAAGTGTGTGTACACACACACACACACACACACACACACACACACACACACACACACACACACACACACACACACACACACACCCCAGGTCTGTTAATCAAAATGTTCAAGAAGGGGACATCAAGCAGTCAGCATTTCAATATACTATTTTGTTTAATTTCTGAAGTACACTACATAGGAGGCAACTTGAGTTCTCTTTCCTCTTCTAACCTGGAACTGTAATGATGTGAAACTTGAATGCATTGTAAAGGAAAAAGAAAAAATAGTAAGAAGCAGATGGGACTTGAAATCTGGCAGCTCATCCAGAGATACCTGTTGGCCAAGTGAGCCAATCTTAAGTCTGGATGGATGGAACTAAATATGTACCTGTCTTTTTTCGTTTGTTTCCATAACCAGGAAAGAGAAGGAAAGGAAAGGGATGTGAGACAAAAAACAGAAATGTTTTACTGCTACTGATTATTTGATGGAGTCCATCAACACTGAAAACATCAGACATTGACCTGGCTTGCAGGTGTGATAACATATGCAGTTGGCTGAATTGCCTGAAACGTACCTGGTTTAACAGTGACATTCACAAATCCTTCTCCAAATGCATCTTCCGCAGAAACAGTCACTTTAAAAAGGTAGGTACCTACAGCCAGCTGAAAAAGAGTGTGGTGACTGTTTAAATAATCCTGTTACATTTACTGATTCTTAAGGACACAGTGTGAATAACACCAAGGAGTACTGTATGTATCTGTTCCTATCAAGTCCAGGGCTAAATTCATGAGGATGACCTCGTATCTTGTCCAGCACCCAGAATGATGTAAGCAAAAAAGCCATTCTGAAAGCTATAGCTATGGTTACCATAAACTGCATGAGGCTGCTAGCGAGGGGGAGGCGATGTCCCTACTGATCATTATGCCACTGAACACATACACGCAAAGTAGGAACATGAGAATCCTTCCGAGACTCTATATGCAGATTCTACATATGGTTTGGCAGGAAGGTACAGTAGTTGCATTAATCTACTGGAGCAAAGCAACAAGTTGCCCAATCTCTTAAACGTTTTACTGCACACAAGGTTTCATGAACTGCAGCCTGTTTCATCTATTGCAATCCATAAAAGCTTACATCCAATCAGGCTTATCATTCTTTAAGATGACACAAAGACACTGCTTTGTATCCAAGACCTGGAGGCACATTTGATACGAAGATCTCCCATTCTTGAACTCCCTGTGAGATTTTCCCAGCCATCTAGCTAGAGGTTCTTTGGCCTCCTCCACTCTTTAGCAATTACAATATCTTCATAGGCCTTATCTCTAATCTTTGTTCCCTACAGAAGATCAAATGTGTGCATTAGATCAGCTTTGCCATTGGCTATAACTGACCGAACAGCACTCAGCTTATAGTTCTGTGTTGTTTGCAAGGTAAAAACACATATCATGGCTCACACAAGGGCCCAGATCAGAGATATGAGTAAGGTTGCTTGTTGGTATCTTTGGGCTTCCAGAAAGTGTAACTTGAATAAGCAACATTTGACTTTGTCTGAGTCAAAGCAACAAAGAGTGATCCAACTCAATTTGCAGAGTATTTAAAAACAGGCATATTATTTGGGCACCTGAAGCAGAAAATGCCACAAGCACTCCTCCCTCCTCTCCCACCCCCTGCACACCTCTGCCGGTAAAATGCAATAACAGCAAATGAAATTAGTAATAATGTTTTGCCCTTTTATGATGACACTCAAATCTGCTGTTGTCTAAAGTAGCGACTTCACTCTGCCTGACTCTAGTGCTGGCCCCGGATTCACTGTAGCTTTCTGCATGTGCCATTCACTTAGATGGCCACTCCAGTCCTGTCCTCTTGTGTCCATGCATTCAATACAGTTATTTGAAGAGGAACCTTAATGCCTGAACAGTTGCTCATGCCTAAAGGTGCCAAGTAAACAGAATCCCTCGCCGCATAGGCATTTCAGTCATTTTGAGCAGGAGATCTTACCCCTGAGCAATTGTTCAACTGGAGGGAGTACTCCTCAAGTATCCACCATCTCAGCATGGACACCTCTCTCAATAAGGAGCCCCAAAACTATACACAAAGGGTGTCAGCTGAAGCATTCATGAGAGAAGCAGCCACCAGAAAATGTGCGAGATGAATTACAACTTGGCACTGATGTTCAGTCAATCAACTATGGCGCAAAGCATGGGAAAGGGACTTTTTGAACTACAGTATAAACGACAGAAATTCCCGGCCTGTGTGACTGACTATGTTGGCTGTGTGATTCTTCACGTCCTTGTCTTTAACAGCAACTATCCCAAGCTTCATAATGGGGAATCAGGGTTGTTTTTTAAAATATTGATAAATAAAATAATCAAAAATCTTTATGTTATCAGATTTCAGTAACAATCTCTTACAAACCTCTCTTGTTTTCAACTGGGAACAAACATGTTTATTGACTCCAGCACTTGCACCAAACAGAAGACTTGTTCCCATATTATTGATTTATTCATGTTTATTTATATATTTATAAACCGTGTTTCTCCTTTAACACAGGGCTGTGTGTTTGACTCCATTGAGGGCATTGCACCAGCTTTCCTCAAAATCTGCACACTGAATGTGCACAGGGAACACAGGGAACTCGTTTTTGGATGATATCTCTTGGAGTCCACTGGGGTAGCTTGTAGGTAAAGAGTTCTCCACAAGTGGTGCGTCTTTCAAGTTATCTTACCAAAAACAGCCAAATCCTATATTTCAGAATACACTTCATTTAATACCAACTAGATGGAAGCACACTTACCTGAGAAACTTTAAGGCTTGGTGTGTTTCTGCCTTCCATTTCACCATCATAGTAATCTGGGTGGCCAATTAAGTTCCATTCATAACTATATGATGTTTCTGAAAGCAGGGAAGAAGCACAACAGCTGCTTGGAAGAGAGACATGTCACCAGGTCAAGCATGTACAGTACATAAAGGTAAGCATACCTGTTTGCTTTTTACAATGTAAAGTTATTGTCCAACTCAAAGTCGGTACACAACATGAGCTACGCTGGCTTACAACATTTATGCAGATCTTCTGATTCTGTGGAAATTTGACTTCACAGATTTCGTAGCTTGGAATCTTATGAAAGGGAACAGGTCCACCTCAGATAAAACAAAAAATCCTAGTTGGCCAAAGAACCAACAAGGCTGCATGCCCCATCACAAAACTTAAATTCATATATATCCCTTATCCTCACCCTAGTCCAGCTCTTCACACTTGTAAGAAATCAACCTGATTCACTTGACATCCTGGGATAAATTGTAAATTCAAATTCATCCGGACAGAGACACTGACTTGCATAAACCCCAGTTTTGCACACAATAACAAACCAGGACTTGCTTTCAGCAGGCACCGCCTGGGATCCTACTACTGTCCATTTAAGATTTGCCATGAGCAACTGTGGTTATCAGATGGGTGATGAGGCACATAACCCAGATACACACTGTTACATACAGCACTGATGTTACCTGTCAAGTTCCACCAACCTGATGTGAAAACCAGTAGGATTCTGGCCACATCATACGTGTTTTCTAAATATACATCGACTTCCTAGGGAGCTAGAAACTTGTTATGCTTCCCCTCTACACATACCCTAAACATTAAGAACTTACCTGAAAGTGATGGTGTAATGACAGATGCATGCAATTCAATGTCATTTTTTGGCAAAGTGATTTGACGATTATCTCCAGCTGACACCAGGAGTTCTTTTACTGCACAGAAATTGGGGGGGGGAGGACAGTTTGAAACTGAGGAGCAACTTCTGTTCAAAGGTTTGATGGGTTGCACCTATTTCCATGCTTTGAAGGCTTAGAAAGACTCTTCTGCAGCTGAAAAACTATATTAATAATAGTGTCAATTATTTCTAAAGAATGTATTTCTGTTTTCTAAAGAATGCTTGACAAGTTTCCCTCTTGAAATATAAACTGCAAAATCAGTATTTGAAATATATGACAGTTTTTCCTCAATTCATAGGAATGCCTAAGATACTTTGCATGCAGGTATTTTCCATTTTCCAGTAGGTGTTTTATGTTACGCAGTTTGCTCTCTTTCTGAGATGAGAACTGCGTGAGAACCGAGGAAACAGCTACACAACATAACTAGCACATCATCAGAAGTGAGAAACAGAGTTTGCCTAAAAGAGGGCCACAGAAGTAGGCAAAAATGTATGGGAGGGAATTTTTAAAAAATTTAACCAGAAGTGGTTGGAAGTCTTGGTCCAGTTTTGAAGATTGGTATTTGGATGTGTTAAGTACCACACAGAATATCTGTGAGGACCCATTTTAAAAGCAATTTGAGATTCCTAGAGGCTTCTAGAAATAGCATTTCCCCATTCTTTTTTAGGGAAGTCATCATTTAGTGGCAGTCTAATGTGATTAAGGGCCACATGTTGTACTTTGCCCACCCCTGCTATAGAGGCATGAACACCTTAGTTTACAGGGACTCTAAATGGAACAATGCTCCTTGATGAGCCAAGACTTTGAAAGATTCTTCCTCATCACACACAACCAGCCATTTACAAGCTTGATTACAATAGCTTAACAGTCAACATTATTAATTTGCTCCCCAAATCTCAGCCTCAAAGAATTCACCTTACCCGCTTTGGTGGCAGCAGTGGGAAGTGGTACTTGATCTGTGGCAGAGAGCTGAGTGGCAAGATTCCTGCTGGGAAGTGATGTAGTTTCACCTTTCTTGAGGTTACCCAAGTTTGATGTCTGAGCTGTGGTAGAGGAGAGAAATCCCAGGATGTCTGAAGGAGGAGGATTATGGGAAGGTGTTAGAACCTACAAGATGAATTGCAGGACACACAGTTATTGTGAATATTTTTCCTTGCATTTTGATACATTGAAAGATCCAAGAGCAACATTCTTCTCTAGCTAGAATCAATGAGATTAACCAACCATGGATAGAAATATATTGTGCATCCCTGTCTCAACATCAAAGAGTTAGCTACCTGAGCAAATGGATCTTTCCAACTGTGTTCTAAAAACTGAATAGAAGCAAAATGAGACTAAAGGAGATAAAGAATTTTTAAAGACTCCCAAGTGAATTGTGCAGTGCTTCAAGCATCTCCATATCCCCAATCCGGGAGAGTGGTGGACAGACAGAGACAGACATATGTGCACACACAGATACACACACACCTGTCCTGTTTCTTCCATGTGTTACTAACTGACAGAGGTCTGGGTGTCTGCATGTGATACAAGTCCACTGGCCAGTGTGGAGTCTTTATATATATGCACATGAACAAGTAGTCAGCATTGACAAGCCTCACTGCTTCCTTTGACAGGCGCTAGTTAGCAACACCTCCAGCTTCAACTATTATATATTGGGTTTTTCTATGCTGTCACACACACCAGTTCACCTCTTCATCTATAAGAGCTAGAAATTTGGATTTGAAAAAATATCTCTCCCAGAACTGCAACAAACAGACACACAAAAGAGATTTACAACCTTTCGGTGGTCTGTAAACTGTATATTGCCCAGCACTGCTTTACAAATACAGTACAATTAATGAACTAATACAGAGCAACACAGTATCAGGGCTGCATATCAAGCATTTTCTATTGTTGCCTCTGAATCTTTTACCAATCAGTTTGTTTCAAACCTTTCCATATATAGCATGCAGCCTAACAATCAGAAACTCTCCCAAAACAATTGAACTAACCATAATTTCCTTACCACTGGTTATGCGGGTTTGGTCCAATAGAAACTGGAGTCTGTGCAGGGGTGAGCTAGCGCTAAACTAAATAGTTTTTTAAAACTTTAAATACAGTATGCACATTTTTCTCACACATCTGTTTTAAAATGGCAAAGATTTCTGAAAAATAAATTAATCAGAATCCGGAAAACTCCAATCTGAAAGCTGTTACCCCTTGAATACTACTACTACTACTACTACTACTACTACTACTACTACTACTACTACTACTACTACTACTACTACTACTACTAAACATACCTCTTCTGGCCAGGGTCTGTTTGTTTCACTAGGTGGTTGAAAACCCAGTTCATCTGCTGATTTATCCACCAGACCCAAAGAAATTTCTGGGAAATCTCCAGGATGTTCAGTGACAGGTTTCCCCTCAGATACATTTAGATTTGTTGGGTTTTCCAAATGAAGATTCCCATTCTCATTTTCTGTCAGTTCTTTGTGGTTGTCTCCATGTGTGAGCCCTGACGTATTGATTCCGTTTTCAGCAGTCCCCATCAAGCCCCAGTTAGCAAAGTTGTCATTTTCCTTCTCCTCACGCCTGACACTCAGTTGGAATGGGTTCTGCTCCATCTGTCCATATTCATCTGGGTAATCTTGTGCTTCCTCAAAACTCTGCTCTTTGCCAAGGAAGGACAGTTCCTTCAGACTACTAATTTCCTCCGAGGGATCATCTTGTAGAGACATCGAGTGGATCATATTGGGAGGCCCGTATCCCAGCAAAGCAGTCAGCCTCTGGGGAGACCTTAGCACAAACGTCAAATAGGACCTCGCCTTGTCCATTTTCTTGGGCTCACAATTCCCTTTATGTGGGCAGCTGACAAGGTAGCAATGCCGTTCAAACATCCAGGCCACGTCACAGTCAGAAAGGTCGCAGCAGGCCGCTGAGCAGTCTGACATCAACACAGCATGGGGGACCCGCATAATTTTATTCACTTCTAAATTGGGAGATATTATTGCATCAGAGTACTTGGCACCTTCCCTGCACTGTTCACAGAAACACCCTGAAAGTAACACGCAATATGATCAGAAAAAAAAAATGCCATAACTTTTTACAACTCTTCAATCATTTCCATTTTTAAAAAAATCAAAACTGTTGATCTATACTTTTGCATCATTTAGTGCAGGGGCAGACATATGGTGTTGGACTACAACTCCCATAAACCCTAGCCAGCATAACCAAATATTGTATATAAATTCTCAAAGCTGCTGTCCAAATAAAATTGGAAGTTTGTACTTCGACAGATCTTGATTTAATGTAACTTACATAGTATTCATTTTATTCATATGGAATTACTTGGAAAAGAGTCAGTGGCCAGAATCCTGTTATACAACTTTCTGCCATGAAAGTCAGATGATATCATCAACTACACTCATAATATAAGCCTTACCCTAAAAATAAGCCCTGGTTAAGTGAAGCCCCGCCCTCCACTATTGTGCAGCAACCAGAAGATGACATAACTGTATTTAAATAAATGTAGATGGTTGTACATGAAAAAAATAAAACCTCCCCTGAAAATAAGCCCTAATGTGTTTTTTGGAGCAAAAATTAATAGAAGACCCTGTCTTATTTTCAGGGAAACACAGTAGGTGTGTCCAAGTGTAACTGGTGTGCCATTTTAAATGCATATGTTCCTCTGCACATATCAGAATGGAAACATTCCAGTAATCGAAATCGAAATGCTGTAATTTTATGCACACTTCTCAAGGACTAAGCTCTGCTAAACTTACCTAGACTTAATGTTTTAATAAGCATGCATAAAATTTAACTGTCAATCTACATTATCTGGTATGTGATGCTGTGATGCCACTATATAAATGCAAAATGACAGCTTGGCACAAGCTTCAAACTGTAGTTCCCATGGGCTTCACAATTCAGAAACATTTCAGAATGTTTGATACTAAGCAAAAACAGACCTGATTGGATGGTTAATTTCTCTAAAAATCAAGAGATTAATTACAGAACAGAAGCCTAATAAACATTTTAATATAACATTCAGCATGTCACACCCACATTTTTAACTGGTAACTCAAAGAGAAGAAACACTGATAAGCAATAACAATAAAGAAATCTTCTTCAACCAGCCCTGTTTTTACAAATCAAAAACAGGTGCTAAAAGGCAACAAATACTGGAGTTTACCATGATATGAAGTTAGAAGCCCTCCATCCAAGGGGCAGTCAAACAAGTGGAGAGGGTGGAGGGGTATGGATCATATATTATTCTGTATTATAAGGTAATTGTCTAAAATAGGAGAAACCCATCTCACCCACAGGAAGATCCATGTGTATCAAGCACGAGCCTATAGATGTCTAATCAAATGAAAGTCCTGCTGAGTTCAGTGAAGCTTTCTTCCAGGTAAATGGATATAGAATAGCGGCCTACAAGCCCCAAGCTAGGTGTCAGTGTTAGACATTTCTAGCACAAACAGAAGGACAGAATGTGGGTGATTCATACCAACCAACATTTAATCTACAGCTATACAAGCTGGGTCAGAGTTGAGCAACCTGAGGCACCAATTTCGTGTGACTTTCGACAAATTCTGAAAACCCTGAGCCAGTCATCAGTTTGGTTCTTTGGCAAGAGAAATCTGTCATTCTACCACCAGCAGCCTGCTAAGCAAGGATGATGGAGAGAAAGGGTAGCAGAGCTGGTAGCTGATGATGATGACTTCAGTTCTGGAGGTGCTGTGAATTCCACTCACTATTTATTCTGACCTTTGCAGGAGCTAAACAAGGTGCTTAACTCTTGGAAAACATAGCCCAAAATTCAAGAGTGGATTCCACAGCATCCCAGAAATTTGAATCACCAGCTGCCACTGTAGTAGAGGAAGAGTGAAAAGTCGTGGCCCTGCCTACTTTTAGCTCTGTTTCTGTCCACAATAGCTTCAGTCACCATCCCAGTTCTCACAAATATCTCTAAAGGAGCACAGGAAGAAACCGGTTCCCACCTTTGCAACAGGACAGAAACATCAGCTTTCAGCTACAAACACATTTCACTCACAAATTTACATTTGTCTGACGGGCGGAAGGAGTGGAGGGGATGGATTTATAAACTAAATGCTGCCAAAGCTCATCTCTAGCAACATTTGCTTGGGCTTATGAAAATTTTATTTCCTAAGCAAAGCCAGAAAATCTTTTGAAGTCATGGTATTGCACTACATTCATCTTTAAGCTCCTGGACGCAATGAATATGATTTCATCCTCTCCATGGGTTTCTATAATGCTACTGATATCCCAAGCCTCCTTCATTTCCTTTAAAAAACTTAAGTCTTTTTGGGGGGAGGGAGGGGGAGGGGATAGCACCTACTTCAGGAAGACTTAATGGGTGAAGGAAGGTAGACCAGAGGAAAATATTAACTTAAATTAGAATATCATACACATACACAGAGGAAAACTCCAGCAGCATTACCCACAAATGAACAGACTTTCGTCTGTATTGGTTTCCCTTTATTCCTCCATAGACATTTAGGCACTCTGTGATATTTACAAGGGTTGTGTAGTGTTACAGTCGTATTTCACTGCTCTCATCACATCCAGCCAATTCTTAGTTATTCCTGTCTTCCTTCTATCAGTACTCATTATATAAACCATTTAAGAGTCTTCAAGCATAAAGGTAAAAGAAAACATCCTTTTTTTTTTCATTTTGTCAACCATGTACATTTTGGAGCATAGTGAAGAAAGAAAATTGGCCATGTGGGCTTCTCCTCATAGCCTTAGAAGCAAGTTAATGGTTTGTTCACTTTAACAAGGGGAATACAGTCATATCAACCTACCTGTTAAAGCCCCAAAAAGTAAGTAGAGGGCTCTTAATCCTAGATCGGATGACATTCTTCCTCATACAGGCACTGGGAACCCTGGTACAGCAACCTGGAAGCGCCAAAATCTTATTATAATTTTATTCCAATGTTGCCCAATGTAAAATGTCCAGCTGATGGCCTGCAGGGCTAACAACAGAGAGAGGGGAAAAAATAGGTCTGGCATAAATATTAATTATAATGTCACTCACAGAGCTAGCAGATAGTCAGGAATGTATAATCACTCTTAGCTGTGACTACCTATAAGGAAGATTACTTGTAACGGTTGTGTATGTGTGTGTTTTTAACTCTGCAAGGAAACTCTCATTGAAACTTGCCACAGATTAACAGCCACATTAAGGTTGTGTAGAAAGTACCCTATTTCTCCTAAAATAAGACCCAACCTGAAAATAAGCCCTAGTATGATTTTTCAGGATGCTCATAATATAGGTCCTACTCCAAAAATAATCCCTAGTTAAGTGAAACCCCGCTCTCCACCATTATGCAGCAACACAAGTTGACATGACTGTATTTGAATAAATGGAGATGGTTATATATGACAAAAAATAAATCATCCCCTGAAAATAAACCCTAATGCGTTCTTTGGAGCAAAAATTAATATAAGACCTTGTTTTATTTTCAGGGAAACAGGGCATATTTCCATATGCTCCAGAACTAAGAAAGAAAAAACAGCAATGTTGCTTATAACAGGCTACTTTTTGGGTTAACAAGGGTTTCTCTTGCAAATAATCTACCCCCCCCATATTTACTCATTTTTTTTTCTCTTTACTGGAGGTACAGTGTCTGTGTTACAGAAGACTGATGGGCTGTGTGTAATGGTAAGTGCATTAACTTGATTTGGGGCCTTTTCTAACTTTTAAAATGGCTTTTTATACATAACATTTCAAGCTCTGGTCTGGACGTTCTATACAGGGCAAACACATTGCTGATACTTCCACACTTTAGAGTAACAGTGCTGAACACCTAGAGTTGGTGAAGCCTAGGAATTGGGGTATATATTCAGTAGAATCCAGGCAATGTTGCTATGGGCGAGATGGGTTTCTCCAAACTAGGTAAAAGTCTGACTTCATGATGCCGCTCAATGTATGAACTAGTTTCAAAGCTTCTCTAAGCCTCTGTAAAGAAGCACAGAATCACCCTCTAAGCATGAAACACAAAAATAGAGCAGCAAGTGCATTTAGGAAATAGTTCTGCCAAGAGAGCCCAGCTACAAGGTATGCAGCCAGCAATGTTCCTTGGAGGGAATTCCACATAGTCACCTGCATGGAATTCTGGTTACCCATGATGACCAAGTTAATAGTAATTACATAAACACAAGTCTAAAATTAATCAATCAACCACTGAGGAAAGCACAAACAGCAGACTATTGTCAAGAAATCAATAAAAGCAACAGGAACACGTGACAATTATTAAAAGCCTTGAAAAATAAAAAGATATTCATGTAAATTATAAAAGACAATACTGTGATATCTCTCAAGACTGCCTGCTTTGGCTTTTAGTGTGATTGCCTCTTGTGTTCTGTGGTACCTCGACTTGCGAACTTAATCCATATTGGAATTAAGTTTGTACGTCGAAAGGTTCGCAAGTCAAGTAAAACTTTCCCATTGGAATGCATTGAAAACCATTTAATCTGTATCTGCTGTTTCCGTTCGTATGTCAAGGCGCTATTCATAGGTAGAGGCATTACTTCCCCTAGGAACTCTACCACTAGGGGGTGAATTTTTAAATTTCTACCACCAGGGGGTGAATTTTTAATTTTTCTTCTTCTTTTGACCTAAGGTGAGCTTAGGTTAAAAAAAAGTCAGGAAAGGGTTTTTTTTTCTTTTTTCTTTTAGTTCGTAAGTTGAGGCTCCGTTCGCAGGTCGAAGCAACTTTTTGCGAACAGAGCCATTCGTAACTTGAATCATTCATAAGTAGGGACGTTCTTAAGTGTATTCCATAAACTTGGTGCTGTCACTGGCACCCCCAATGCCTAGTCTTCAGAAGCAGTCCTAGCCATCTGGCAAGGGGCTTCTGGAGCACACTTGAAGAGTCAGGCTGAAAAACGGCATTCATTCAAGGCCCCTGACAACAAGCTGCTTGCAGCTCTATGTTATTTCAGAGCTTAATTCCTAAAAAGCACAAATCTGTCAAATGGAGAACATAAACAGAAAATAATCTTGATCATCTAGCGCACAGGGAGAGAGAATGAAAGCAATCAAGATACTCAGGAAGTTCTTGATTCATCACCTGTCCATAAGACATGCTGCAAACTCTCCATTGTTTGATCATTTTTAAAAGGGATCTTTCATTACAAGGGCACTTTGCGAAAGAACCATTAAGCAGCTATGACAGCTGCTGCATCAAATGTCTTGTGTTAACAATTGCTGGGGCCACTGTGAATAGTGAGGAAGTTCTAAAGATGAGAGGTTTAAAAGATTTCCTGGTTCCAAGAGGCAATCACACTAAAAGAGTGTAATTGCTCTGCTGAGATATTAAAATGCTGTTATTGAAAAGAAAATGTAAACCAGATCATGATGCACATAGTAAATAAACACAGACCCCCTATTGTTCAAGGCAAAATGCTGTCTCAAAAGCCATTCAACTTCATATGTACAGTAATTCAAAGGGTAACTTAACACAGATGGTAACAGACAGCTGATCATAATCCAAACTCCATAAATATAAATCCAGTGACTCCCAGAAGCCTAACCACCATGGCTAATAGAAATTCTGGAAACAGAAGCCCTAAACCTCTGGAGGACCAAAGGCTGAGAACCACTGACCTATATCAATCTTCTCCAAACCGAAGTCTTTCACAACTCCCATCATTCCTGGTGCATCTGGAAAGCACAAGCATGGCAGAATATAGACCCAACGCATGACCTAGAAGTATCTATCTAGACAGTGCGTTCACCACACTGGTCCATGCACTTGTAGTCTCTAGACTACTGTAATGCTCTCTATGTGGGTCTTCCTTTGAGACTGATGTGGAAGCTCCAGATGGTCGAGAACAAGGCGGCCAGGCTATTAACAGGTGGAATGATTTCACCATATTTCCCCCACCTTAGCCACACACTGGCTACCTATCTGCTTCTGCATCGATTTCAAGGTGCTAACTATTACATACAAACCCCTTAACAGTTTAGACCCTCGATACCTGGCAGAGCGCCTTCTTCCACCCAGTTCTATCCATATCACCAGCTCCAGTCAGGCCGGGCAGCTGAGGGGCCTAACGCCTAGAGAGGCCCGGTAAGGAAAAAACAGAAATCAGGCCTTCTTGGCAGTGGCCCCTCGCCTATGGAACAACTTACCTCCAGGGATCCACCTGGCTCCCTTGTTGAGGGCCTTCAAGACTATCTTGAAGACATGACTATACAGGCAGGCCTTCCCTATAGCCATTACCTAGCCTATCTTTTTTCCCTCTCTTTCTTTTTTTCCCCTTTTCCCATCTTGGACTTTGTGATTAATTTTTATGTTATATGTAAACCACCCAGGGTAGACACGTTCTAGATGGATGGTATATAAATCTAACTAGAATAAATAAATTCCCCTTTTTTCCCTCTCTTTCTTTTTTTTCCCCCCTTTTCCCATCTTGGACTTTGTGATTAATTTTTATGTTATATGTAAACCACCCAGGGTAGACACGTTCTAGATGGATGGTATATAAATCTAACTAGAATAAATAAATAAATATCTCAGGTGGCCACTTTTCTGAAATTAAGCAGGTTTGGATCTGATCAATGTGTGAAAGGGGAAGGGGCTGCCCAAGAAACTAACACTGATCAGAAAAAGAAGGTACAGGCAGACATCCCTCCATCATTTCTGGATCCAATTAAAAGCACAGGTCCTCTCAGTGATTGTTGAGATGAAACACAGTTTCATCAGAGGAAGAAAAAGCAACAGCTTTATGGCCTTATACTTGCTATGTCCTGGGATATGTAAACAACAATCCAGTGCTAGGAAGTGGCCGTATTCCACTGTACCCCTAACCCCTTTTCCTTTTGTGGCATGTCTTTTAGTCTATAAATCTCTGTGTGGTCAATCGATTTCTATCCTGCCTTTTCCCTTAAAATGATACAAAGTGACTTACACCATTAAAAAGAGTAGGTATATAAATATTTTTTAAAAAATTAAACAAGAATTATAATTAAAATAGTAAATAAAATCAATATGAAAAACACAAAAACAACAGAACACAATGTTCTATCCTGCCTTTTTCCTTAAAATGATACAAAGTGGCTTACACCATTAAAAAGAGTACATTTAAAAGCTAAAAATAGTAGGTATATAAATATTTTTTAAAAATTAAACAAGAATTAAAATAGTAAATAAAATCAATATGAAGTGTGGTCAATCGATTTCTATCCTGCCTTTTCCCTTAAAATGATACAAAGTGACTTACACCATTAAAAAGAGTAGGTATATAAATATTTTTTAAAAAATTAAACAGCACAATGATCCAATTTTTTTAAAAAAAGAAAAGCCTCTCAGATCTTCTAATACGTGCAACTCATTGTGGGACAGGAGGGCCTTCTAAGATGAAGAGCAAAGTAAATATGATCAGCAGTAGCTGCTGCTGCTGGATCGCTCAGTAGTTGAGGCATCTGCCTGCAGAGCCAGAGGTTGGGAGTTCGATTCCTCACTGCGCCTCCTTGACAGGGGCTGGACTCTGTGATCCATAGGGTCCTTTCCAGCTTTGCACTTCCAAGATTATAATAATGATGATGATTAATCATCATGCTGTGTTAAGCTTCTTTGAAGAAAGGCAGAATATTGTAAACAATAATCTGAGGCTCAAATGTTTCCAGAAATCTCTCAGGTAGGCCATGATATATATGATATTTGGAATATACGTAAGATGCTCAGACTTTGGATGAGCAAGCATCCCTGTCATTGCAATGAATGCAGGCCTGCTGGATCTCAATACAGGACTATCAGCAAGTTTTCCTCAGCGAAGAATAGCAAGCTCCTTAGCCATAAACCAGCCTGATGTCTGTGGTCAGTCAGGACCCAGAAAAGGAAAGAAAGCTAAGGAGTTCCATTAAGTCTTTAAGTGTAGAAATTTGTGGGAATAACATTAACAGAGTACAGCAGGCTAGTGAGGTGAGGTAAAGGCTACATACTCATGGCAAGGTAAAGGAAAGATATTTCTTATTCCAAGAAGTTCATTCAGTATTTGGCCCAGAAGAATCTGCCATAAACCCTAGCAAGAAAATCACAGAGCTGATTAATCACAGCACAGGTACACCATTTACTTAGCCCAGTGAAAAGACAAAATAGACAGCATAATAGCTTGTTAATATCTGTGAAAAATAACACAAGATATGAGAAGTGTGGCTATAGCACATGGGTGGCTAGTCTGTGATCTGAATCTGGAGGTCGCCACATGCCAGAGGGGCTAGGAAAAAGCACACACTTTGTTCAGATCCAAAGTCTCCTATGGATCCACAAAAGGCAGAAAAATGAAATAGGATGGTCATAGTGAACTGAGAAGGAGGAAGCCACAATCATTTGACTTTGTTATTTGAAGCAGCAAATTGGTATCAGTTTACACGGTACCATCAATTCTGTGAAGGTCAGAAGGCAGCAAGTGTGCCGTCTCCTCTAGGTGAAATGATTATCGAAAGAGAGGTAGTAAAGAAAGATGAAGTAGGAAGAGAAAGCAAACTTGAAAGGGTTAAGACGGAAGTTTGCTTGTTGGAAGAGGGAAAGAATAAGGGGGAGGAGCAGTGGATTGACATGTGAGAAGAAGGTATATAGGAAGGGGTGAGCGTGCGGGATTTTCAAGTAGAAACGGGCCTGAAGCGAGACTCTAAGGAGGAGTCCAAGGCTAAGGAAGTAAAGAATCTGCTAGAGGACTTTCCGAATCTTAAGGTTGGTGAGCTACTCCTGGACCCCACACCAAAACAGGGAGGAATCACTATCTAAGAAACCACAGAATGGACGATGGTGGTGTTCCCACAGGGACACAGTCCTTGGAGGAAGATGGTACGCCCTGATACGACATTCAACAAGCCTCTGGCCGAGGGGTATTGGGTCCGTCATCTTTGCTGTGGGACCATATGTGCTGTGAAGAGTGCTCCCCTGCGGAAACCCACAGACAAGGAACGTTTTGGACTGGCTCCCCAGTTTTGAAGCGGGACTATATAGTTAATCCACTTGGACAAGTTGAGAGAAAGTTGAATGACTGGGACACTTTGGTGCCCACAGGAGTTATAGTTGACACCCCTTTAATAAAAATCGTTCTGTTTTGGAAGCTCAGACTCCTCTCATTCCTGCTTACGTCGGGGAACCGCCTAAAACTTAATTTGAACCTTTTGACAAATTCACACAGCTATTTTGGAAGTATAACTGTTCAGAAGTTGGCTTTGTCAGCACAGCTAGTTCAACAATGCCAGCACTGATGCAACAAACGCATAACGACTTCTGAGGCTTTAAAGCAGGTGTGGTCAATTCACTAGGTCTCCAGGCCAATTTTCTGGTCCTAGTGCCTCTGGAGGGGGGTTCCACACAGCCCCATCTGAAAATGCAAAAAAATTAAACCAGAAGTAAAAGTCCACTTCCAGATTTGAAAAATTGGTACATATTTGGATATATTAGACTGTGCAAAGAGGCCATGTGACTTATTTAATGGGTGAACAGACACCCCTAGAAGCTTCTAAGAATGGTCATTACTTTGTATTTTTAATCTGGGGGGGGGAGAGGAGCTAGAGGAGATGTAGGGCTACTAAAATAACCTTGGAAGGCTCTATGTTGTCTCAGGGTGACACTTTTCCCACCTTACTTTAAATAATGGTGGATCACTGTCTCTACCTCACTCAGACAAACATGAAAGCCAAGATTATCTATGGTGGGTCAGCATATGATGTCTGAAGTTGTACTATCTTGGTAGTTCTCAACCTGTTTACATACATGGTACAAATAAGAAACTCAGAGAGTTTTATAAATAGTGGATAGCTCAGTGGTTTAGGTATCTGGCTGCAGAGCCAGAACCTGGGAGTTCAATTCCCCACTGTGCCTCCCCAACAGGGGTTTGACTCAGTGATCCATAAGGACCCTTCCAACTCTGCAGTTCTAAGATAATGATACACACAATCTAAAAACCATAGAGACCTCAAATTCATTCATTCAAGGAGACCTATTTCCAAGAAGACATGGGAGTGCACTGAAAGTACTAGCCATACGAGCTTAAGGTTTACAAAGATCAGACTGACTGCTGTGAAAATGGTAGAAACACAGCCTTAGATCCAGAGGTGTGGGTGCACATTAACTCCCAAAACACATGGAATTCCTTTTCCTTTCTCATTCAGTTCCACAAGAGAGAGAATTCTCAACCACTTCTTTCTACATGAGGATGTACCATCAGCACTGGAGGGAATGGGACAGTCCTCAGGGACATAGGATGTCTTCCTTATACCAGGGCGTGCATCACAGTCTGGCAGCAGCTCTTCAAAGACCTCAAACTGACATTTTCCCAGCCCTGCCTGGAGATCCTGGACACTGAATGTGGAAGCTTCTACCAGCAAAGTTTTATCTCCCTACTTCTTTCCTCATGGGTAGGAAAACTCAGTTTATACAATGCAATTCCTGCTTTGGCAAGGAGTCAAGACTGGATCATCTGTTCTTTGAGACAAGGTATTACCTCTGAGCAAAAGAAACGAAAAGACAAGAAAGTATTCCACAGAGAAAATATGATACACAACATATACGTATGATTCCATTTGTGCTAGATGTGCAAATATGCTCTCTTTTTTACTCTAATTAAACATAAATAATGAAAGCAATAGGATTAAAAGTGTTTTGCTAAGAATGTTTTCTAATCTGGGTACCAAACTTGGGAATGCCATTGGCTTGAAATAGATCAGTAGAGAGCCATTTTAAAAACTGAAAACATATCATAGTCATTTTTTAAATTATTTTTGTTGTTCCCATGTGCAAACATATTTTTAAAAAACCTTCACAAACAGGCAAACAAAAAACAGAACACTACACAAAATTACAATTTAGACATGAGCTATGAAAAAAATTGGGCTGCAATTCTACACCCAGTTTCCTAGGAGCAAATACCTCTGAATTCTGTGGTAGTTTCTTCTCTGCAGATATCCATTTACCTCAGCTATTAATAACTGACAATCAATTAAGCATTGATCTTTTTTTAATACAGTTGCTCAAAATTAATAATCCAAACATTATAGCAAACTGTACTTCTATCCAAATCCTATTCCATGTAATCTTAAAAATATATATTACAGTACTTGTCTTTGATTCTTATGTTTCAACAAAGTATTTTGAAGTATTCAGTTTACAAAACGGCAAACAAGACATTGTACATTAATTTAATTCCTTATCCCTTTCACTGATCAAACTCTTCTTTAAGATACCTGCAAATATAGAACTGGGAACTAATAACCAACTTCAGCATGATTCAATGCATTCCATACACACACAAGGAATCCTGGCTCTTGTTTCTGGTATCTTTTAGCCAACAGGTTGGAAATGATACACACAGAGAGATACCATTGCTATCTTTTCTGAAATACACTGTATGTTTTAGATAGCTGTCCCCACCACTTGATGCGACCAACCATTTCTGTTCAGTTTCTCCTTGAGATTAGGATGCTGAGTGGCCGCCCTGTGAAAAACCTTAAGACCTGCAGACCTGCATGCATTTGATTCCATGTGGCCACAGGACGAAGGCGAGAGGCGAACAGAACCATCATCGTGTTCCGAAAGAAACCTGCCAAGGTTGATTCTGGTGAGAAAGTGCAGCAGACTCGGGGTACCCAAGGCTGTCCCCCCACAAATAAGCAGCAATATAGGCTCCCCTCCCTCTGAAACTGTTAGGCAAGATGGGGGGGGGAATCTCTTGAGGCACACACTTTTTCGTTTCATCTTTTCTTTCTTTCTTTGCAGCGGGGAAGGGGAGAAAGGGAAGGAGAGGTGGCCCTGCCATTCTGCTTTAATTTTTTAAAAGCACCTGTACAGTATTTCCTAATGTATTTATAAAGCGACTGGCTTGGAGCTGGCTTCGCAGCGGGTCACCGTGCCAGACACACGGGGGGGGGGGGGCTGGACGGACACAAACCTGGATCAGTGCCGACACAAAGACGGGGCCAGAGAAACCCCGATCCGACGAGTCTCCTCTTCCGCCGCCAACCCGGCCCATCCCAGCCCCCACGGCTTGCTCGCCAGCATCCGCCTGCTGGGCTTCTCCTGCATCCCGCCTCCCCCAGCTCCCCAAATCGCCGCGCCAGCAGCAGTGCCCACCTCGGCCGGGAGAGAGAAGGGAGCAGCTCCGTTTTGCTTTGGTGGTTTGCTTCTTTTTTTTACCTGGCGATGGATGATGCGGCGGGGAGAGGCGTCGCTGGTGTCCCTCCGGGCACGGCCGTTTCCCCTGGGGGCCCTTGGCCGCGTCGTCTCCTCACCCTCTACCCGACGCTGCGTAAGAAGGAGCGATGGGCACAAAAACCCTTTTTCTGCTAACGACAATTTCTTCTAAAAAGTGGTGTGCGGAGGTGGGAGCCCTCATGGGCCGACCCGGCAACGGGCACAGACGATCAGTGGCTGAACAGATGCATCTTTCCCTTCCGGCTGAGCTCCCGAAAAAGAGCAATGCACAAAGATCCAGTTGTAGATACGCGCGCGCCCGTGTGTGTGCGTGTTTCTTTCCCCTCGGGGTTGCAGCCTCGTCCGCTATCTCGTACACGCGCGGCCCATCCCAGGCTCAGCGCTGAAGCTGAAGCCCAACCCCACCGCCAGGGGGCGATGCCTGAGCTCCACCCAGCTTGCTTTCTTACCGGGAGGAGCACAGGAGTAACGCCAACCAACATAACGAGGGAGGGCTAAGGCGGATGGGTGGAGAGACTACGTTGTTGTTTAGTCGTGTCCGGCTCTTCGTGACCCCATGGCCCAGAGCACGCCAGGCCCTCCTGTCTTCCACTGCCTCCTGGAGTTGTGTCAAATTCATGTTGGTAGCTTCGATAACACTGTCCAACCATCTCATCCTGTCCTCCCCTTCTCCTCCTGCCTTCACTTTCTCAACATCAGGGGCTTTTCCAGGGAGTCTTGTCTTCCCATGAGATGGCCAAAGTGTTGGAGCCTCAGCTTCAGGAGCTGTCCTTCCAGTGAGCATTCAGGCTTGATTTCCTTTAAAATGGATAGGTTTGTTCTACTTGAGGTCCAGGGGACTTTCAAGAGTCTCCTCCAGCACCACAATTCAAAGGCATCAATTCTTCGGTGGTCTGCTTTCTTTATGGTCCAGCTCTCACTTCCGTACATCACTACAGGAAAAACCATAGCTTTGACTATGTGGACTTTTGTCGGCAAGGTGATGTCTCTGCTTTTTAAGATGCTGTCGAGGTTTGTCATCACTTTCCTCCCAAGAAGCAGGCGTCTTTTAATTTCCGGGCTGCTGTCCCCCCCATCTGCAGTGATCATGGAGCACAAGAAAGTAAAATCTGTCCACAATTAGGAGAATTTCTGTCTCGGGTAAGAGTGGCAGGGGAATACCTAGGCTAGAGGCTTGCCCATAGTGTTAATTCACGCATCCTCTGGGTTTCACCCAGCCTGGGGCTGAAAGGGTGATGAGTATTGTACTACAGAGGCTCCTTTGCCTAGTGCAGTGGTTCTTAACCTGTTACTCAGATGCTTTTGAACTACAACTCCCAGAAACCCCAGTCAGCACAGCAGATGGTGAAGGCTTCTGGGAGTTGCAGTCCAAAACTCCTGAGTAACCCAAGGTTAAGAACCAGTGTCCTAGTGGAATGCCCTTTAGGGGGGTTCCTTACAGTCATCATTCCTGCTAATCAGATTGTCATGACACTTCAACTCTGTAAGCTCTGGCTTCACTGTACTTTTGCATGGCCAGGTCTATTTTAGAATTCCTGATCTAATCATTAACTGACAATTTTAAATTTAATAGATCCTTGGCACGATGCTTTTATTAGATCCGTCAGCATGATACTCACACCCTCCTCCTCTTCTATATCACTAATACCACTTCTCAGTCTTTTGCTGTTCTCTTAAGAGCCATCCCTGTGAACCCCCAGAAGTGGAAAAGATATGTTAAGAACGTGTCCCTTTTCCACCTTCTCCCACGACTTGGATAGGAAAACTTAACAGGTAACAGAAGCTGGAGTGGGGGCACTAGTTCCTGGTGCTCTAGGCAGTGGGTCTCCTGCCTTGACCAGTACCAAATGATGCCAACCCCTGACCCCCCAAGTTAGCTTATCTAGAAGGAACAAGCATTTTCTTCACAGACAGGGAACTGTAGAACATGTTAGTAATGCACCCATAGCCAAAGATTCTCTTGGAAAACAGATTGCAGTTTTTCCATCTGTCTCATCTTCTTGAGAACAGTGTCATACAGGAGAATTCCTAAAGGCCAACTTTATTGCATACAAAGTTATCTGAGTACAATAGTATTCAAGATGTATTGAATTATGTTTAATTGGAGACTACAGTACAGAACATAAAATGCAAAGTGTCGCTTTCGCACAGAAATTAACTTAGAAGTTCTCCTGGGGCATATGCAAAGAGAAGAAAGCCAAGAGCAAATGATGGGTTGTCTCCCAGCCTCTCTATTAGCATAGGATCCCAGTAACTACTGAAAGAGACCGTCAATTGTCTCCTGAGTGTGTGAACCTGATCAAATCCTAGAACTGGATTAAAATTTAACAGCACGTGCATTCTGTGTGCATGTGCGGGAAGAGGAGAAAAAGTCAAAACAGCATTCTTAAAAGGACCATGGAGTCCCATCTTACAGTACTACATCAAAAGTGCACAGTAGCCCCCAGTGGTCACTGGGAAATTTGCCACAGTCTAGTTTTTCCAGGCCAATTAAATCCAAACTCTGAGGAATAATCTGTCCGCCAGTAGAAGCAGCTCGGAAAAACAGGCGATCAAACCGCAATTTGCAATCCTTCTGTATGCCCAAGTTAGTGTTTTGACTTGTATCCCAGGTGTAGTGGCAATGTTCCGGCTTGCCCAAGAACTCCCAAATGTCCATCACGTTGCTCGGCAAGCCACCCAATTTAGCAACCTGAGGGAGAGAAAAGTGAAGTGTCATAGTAATATATATACTAATACAAATATTTACTAGTCTTAAAAATAATACGTATTATTTATTCCTTTGTCCCAATTATTTTGCTATTTTCTAGAGAGTTCTGAAGGTTGGGGTAACGATCTTGACTGTATGAGTTCCACAGGATCTAAGACTGTAGCTTCCCCATGATGCTGTCCTTTCTTCCCTCATGCACAGCAAATCATTCCCCTTCCTTTGAACACCATTTCCTGGCTTGGAGAGCAAAGGTTTATAAAGGCAGGAGTAAGCACCAGGGCTGTCTTTCCCCATCTCTCCACCTTCCATCTTTGCATTAAGCCATAATTCACTGTTGCAATGCAATTGGGGAACTCTGGCTTTGCATCAAGGATGAAACTATGAAACCAATCCAAGAAATGAGTGAGCCCAAGTGACTTTTCCCCATATATGCCATTTATGCTTAGAACAAGAATAAATCCTTATATGATTTCCATATCATTGTTATGACATGGAGTGTAGAGTATATATGTTATTATAGCAGCTTGATAACAAACCGCTTATGAGTATCTACGCTTTGTACACTCCATGTCATAACACTGGTAGTCCTAAACACCTTGCATATCTTCAAGTAAAATAAATGTACCTACACTCCACAGTTGCAGCAGTTAGATAACAAAACGCTATAGCTGTGGAGTGTGTATACACTTATTTTACTTGAAGATATGCAAGCTGTTTAGGTTTGATTAAGGCCAAAAATAAAAAAAAAATGTTTAATTATGATGACATGACTGAGACAGCAATTTTATCATAAAGCAATTGAACAGACTGAAAGAGGAGGGTAAGAAGATATGAAATATGAGGGTAAGAAGATGTTTTTTCTTAACAAGACTATTCCAATTTTGATTTTAAAAATTAGTAGTAATTAGGAATGTAAACAACAATGCTTCTTTGCCCTGTCTGATGTTAGGAAAGAAGGGATTGTGAAGGAATTCTGAATAATCTGTTTTGTTTTTTTGTTTTTAAATGTGTGTAAACAATCTGTCAGGAAATAAACTGTTATTCACAGGAGATTATGGAACACAATGCAAATAAATTTGAGAATGACTTCTACAGAATAATAGTCTTTTTAAAAAACCAACAGTTCCCCTGCAGCTCACCTCTTTGTCTCTCAGGTTTGTATCTCCTCCAAAGATCACAGTGGCAGAGTCCGATACCTTTGTCATATTTGCAAGCACCAGTTTCAACTGCTTTAAGCGTTCTTCACCATGGTTCTTAGTGCTCTCCAGATGGGAAGTCATAAGGCAAAGCTCATTGCCAGACACAGTTGCCTGTTAGAATAAGATGATGCAAAACAGAAAGCAGTGTTTCCTCTGTGTAGCTGGGCAAACAGAACACCACAACGTCACCCTTCTTTACAATACTTGGTACTTATCCCATATTCACCAGATTCTGCCCTCTACTTTTGGAGAGCATAAAGACAGGGCTTTTCTTTGACTGGAGTGGAGAACGTGTGGTCCTTCAGATGTTGTTGGGCTGCAGTTCTCATCAGCCCTAGATGGCACTGCCAATAGTGAGGGAGGTTATGGGCCAACACCTGGAGAGCAACATATTCCCCACGTATCACTTAGACCGTAAACCCTGGCAGTACAAATCAAGTCAATTCTGACTTGTTTTATACGGTAACTACCCACAAAAAATGAAAGTACTGAAAAAAAATAACAAAAGCTATGATTAATTGGCTAAGCTACTGATTATACCAAGGCTTTAATAGACAAGTTGGCTAGAACCCAATTTTAGTCTATAAAGGAGGGTTTCGAAGTATTCAGGGCTATGAAGTGAGGCTATTTGGTTCCAGTGTATAAGATAAGTGAGCCACCAATTGTGACTTATGGTGGCCCTTTCCAGGTACAGAGATGGTTTACTATCTTCTAGGGTCTCTCTGGAATTCTGCAGCCTGCCCAAGACTACAAAATCTGGCTCTTGTTGCACAGTGAGGAATTAAACTCTCAACCTCTTGCTCTGCAGCCAGGAATGCTACTCACTGAGCTATCCAGCCAAGCTGTAATCATAAGGGAGTGAAAATAAATTAATGAAAGACAGGCTGTCTTAACAATGAAGAGCAATTTTTTTTGCAAAAAATTAATGTTTCATTTTTTGCACACTAGTTCTACAAGTAACTATGAGATTTTGACAATATGTGAAGTCGATGGAGGCATTTAAAACACAGATCTAAAAAGGCAGCAACAAGAATTTGCATTTCCCCCCATAATAATTATCTTAATTAGCCTGCATTTCAAAGGCCTGTAACTTCAGAACAATATATGTTTTGTTGAGAGACTTAATATAAAACTCACATGTACTGCTAATAAATTTCTCATCATGGAGGTTGTAGGGAAAGGGATTATTTCATGTTTTAAAACTCTTACTCTTGATTTTTTTAACATCATGGCAGTAAAATACCCATCAGTATTACCTATAAAGAGAAAGATATACATATATGTAGAAAAAGTCAATACCAATGGCACATCCTATTGGTTTTAAGTATTAATCAACAGATTTCCATGCTTTTGCTTCCTTTTTGATTAATTACAGTTTATTGTTACATTCAAATTCTAAATGAAGGCCAATTGTAAACTATGGTTACTGGAAAAAGCCAGCTTCATAAAGCAAAGTTTGCAGCTGCCGTTTCAATAATTCAAAATTAAGACTAATCTCTTTTTTTACATTCAGATATAATGCTCATCAGCAATTTATTGAAAATGGAAGCTAACATTTGCAACCACATCACAAGAGGAAAGGTAAATAGGACAGCTCCCAAGAGCAAGCTCACTGAAGCCTAGTGTATAATGTCAAACCATAAAATAAGTGAAGTGTTTGAATGAGACCAGTCTTTTGGGAATAAGTAATACAGCAATCCAGAGCCTGGACAAGTTACTTTTTAGACTACAGTTCTCAGAATTCCCCAGCAAACTGTGGAGTTGCCCCCCAAAAAGACAGTTTTTCTATCCTCTGCATACAGTCCAGACATAAAGCTCTGTAGACTTTGCCCTTAGATGGACCAGCACTAAGAACAAAACTGTGAGCAGTTTTTTAAGTACAATGGCTGCATCAATTCTACCTTTATTTTACCTGGAATAATTGTGTAACTGACTGCTCTTTTCTGTAGATAGTTGAGGTATGGAGGAATGACTTCCTGTAAAAATACCACATCTGGCTTGTACCTAAATTGAAAAAAAAATCTCATAACAGAACACAAAGCACACAATAACATTAAAGATTAAGCATGGCTACATCAATTGATCCTGGTCAGGGAGGCTACAACAACATACAACACTATAATAATAACTGGGAATTGAACAACTATACCATCACTGTTTCCTGCAGCTTAAAAAAAGTTATTTTTTAGATTACAGTTCCCAGAATCCCTTGTTTAACAGAAATAGCATCATGTTTTAATTGAATATTAATCATATGAAATTTCTTTTATACAAACTAATCTTGTCCATATCTGCAAATCAAACATCTTTTGTTCAAACTAAATCATTCCAAAATGATTTCTATTCAGATGTGTTGTTGTTAGAATGCTACTCCATCTCAGATTACAAGCCATGATGGGGATGTATAATCTCCAGGTTTAAAAGGAAGGTACCTCAAAATGCCAGATGGAGGGGCTCTTCTTATGTTATGTTACATTCTTATACAGTATCACTGAGCAGCACTGAGCTTAAAAAGCCATTAAGTCCTAAGCGCAGATGTGGCCTGCACTCTAAAGAGCCTCAGGTACAGTTCCCCTAAAACAAAATGACAGTATGCGGAACCAGACACCCACAAAAAACTACATTTAAATGTTATTCTTCACCTACAGTGGATATAAAAAGTTTACACACCTCTGTTAAAATGTCAAGTGTCTTGATGTAAAAAAATGAGACAAAGATAAATCATTTCAGAACTTTTTCCACCTTTAATGAGACCTATGAACACAGTTGAACAACAAACTGAAATCTGTTAGGGGGAGAGAAGTAAAAATAAAAAACTGAAATAATACAGTTGCATATATGTGCACACCCTTAAACTAATACTTTATCAAAGTACCTTTTGATTTTATTACAACACTCAGCCTTTTAGGGTATGAGTCTATAAGTATAGCACATCTTGACTTGCCAATATTTGCCCACTCTTCTTTGCAAAAACGCTCCAAATCTGTCTGACTGCAAGGGTGTCTCCTGTTCACAGCCCTCTTCAGATCACCCCACAGATATTCAATTGGATTCAGGTCTGGGCTCTGGCTGGGCCATTCCAAAACATTAATCTTCTTCTGGTGAAGCCATTCCTTTGTTGATTTGGATGTATGCTTTGGCTCATTGTCATGCTGAAAGATGACGTTCCTCCTCATGTTTAGCTTTCTAGCAGAAGCCTGAAGGTTTGGTGCCAATATTGACTGGAATTTTGAACTGTTCATAATTCCCTCTACCTTGACTAAGGTCCCTGTCCCAGCTGAAGAAAAACAGCCCCAAAGCATAATGCTGCCACTACCATGCTTCACTGTGGGTATGGTGTTCTTTTGGTGATGTGCAGTGTTGTTTTTGCACCAAATGTATCTTTTGGAATTAGGGCCGAAAAGTTCAACCTTGGTTTCATCAGACCATAACACTTTTTCCCACATGCTTTTGGGAGATTTCAGATGTGTTTTTGCAAAATTTAGCCGGGCTTGGATGTTTTTCTTCATAAGAAAAGGTTTCTGTCTTGCCACTCTACCCCATAGCCCAGACATATGAAGAAAACATACAGGAGATTGTTGTCACATGTACCACACAGCCAGTACTTGCCATATATTCCTGCAGCTGCTTTAATGTTGCTGTAGGCCTCTTGGCAGCCTCCCTGACCAATTTTCTTCTAGTCTTTTCATCAATTTTCCAGGAATGTCCAGTTCTTGGTAATGCCACTGTTGGGCCATCTTTTCTCCACTTGATGATGACTGTCTTCACTATGTTCCATGGTATATCTAATGCCTTGGAATTTTTTTTGTACCCTTCTCCTGACTGATACCTTTTAACAATGAGATCCCTCATATTCTTTGGAAGTCTCTGCGAACCATGGCTTCTGCTGTAGGATGGGGCTAAGAAAATGTCAGGAAAGACCTACTAGCACAGCTGATCTTTATTTGGGATTCCTCAGAGGCACTTTAAATGATGACAGGGGTGTACTGACTCCTACTTAACATGAGTTTGAATGTGATTGTTTACTACTGAACACAACAACATACCCAGTTATAAGAGGGTGTACATCCTTATGCAACCATATTATTTCAATTTTTTTATTTTTACTTCCCTCCCCCTAAAAGATTTCAGTTTGTTGTTCAACTGAGTTGTACAGTTCATGGGTCTCATTAAAGGTGGAAAAAGTTCTGAAATGATTCATCTTTTTCTCATTTTTTTTAATCAAGATGCTTGACATTTTAACAGGTGTGTAAACTTTTTATATCCACTGTATTCATGCACTGTTTTTTTTTTAAAAAAAAATATGCTACAACTCGCCATTTAGCAAAATTGGTCTTTTAAAGTTATATCCAATTACTAGCATTTTTTTCTAATAGGGTTAACAACATTTAAGGCATCAGTTTTATGGACACATTAACATTTTCTCATAGTAAGTTTTTATAAGACCTGGTATTGTCAATACTTACAAAGCTATATAGGAACAGACTCCTCGGGCCCTTACTTGCAAATTATTCAAGTCTAAGCCATCTATATTCCAGGTAATTAAAGAAAACGTGCTCTCATCTTCTTGTGGGCCAGGACCTGCTGCTCCGACAGCAGTAGCTGGATTATTGACAGCTGAGTCATCTGTTAAGTCAACACTAAAAAGCACATATAAATGTTCAAAATATTAATTTGGAAGACCTTCAGTTGTGAACTTTGTTATATCTATGTTCAGCACGACACAGTGAACAAATTATAAAGTCCCCAAGAATTTCCAAATATGTGAGAAACAGGTGATAACGACGGCACTGCTGTCCATGACAGCCTCAACACCTTCGTGTACCTACCAGTGACCCCGGACGACCCACTACTGATACCTATCTGGGGTCCCATCAGCCTTAGCTGGCATTGCCTGTGGTAGTGGCTGATGGGCCTCACAGTCCAACAACATCTAGTGGGCCATATATTTCTCCATCCTGCATCTATAGAAAAAGCCTGAGCTACAGCTCTTTTGTGGTCATGCCCCTTTGCTATACATACAGTATTTAAGTCAATTATTTGCACACTCTTCTCCAGAGGAACAGGCTAAGGCTTTGACATGAGTAACTTACAAGGCAGGCGGAGGCATCCTGTCCACGGTCACCTCATCGAGGGGTGGCTCAAAATAAGAATTCAGCGCCCTCTGCAAAGCAAAGGCAAGGCCAATCAGCGGGGTGATGAGGGCCATCAAAACAAAACAACCCAAACACCCCGACTCCTAGAAAGCTGCTGCCAAAAGGGGGAAAGGGGCCGAGGGCATGCGTACTTGCATATCCCAGTCATTCTCCGCCAAGTAGCCCTGGGCAACTCCTATATCACTGCCGCTGATGGAGGCAAACTGGGAGCAAAGGCGCCTCCGGGATTCCTCCAGGTCTTCCCGCGGCGCCTCCTTCGCTTCCTCCGCTGCGGGCAGCTGGTCTTGGGTCCGCTCCCCGGGGGTCGCCTGCTCCTCCCACTGAGCGACCCTCTCCATCTTCGATTCCGTAGCCGCCGAGACTCGTCACCACCGGCCCCGCTCCTTTTCCTTCCCGGCGCGAAACGAGGCTCCGCCTTGGAGCTCAAAGGTCGCGCGGGGCGGAGCGCTCGCGATCCCGGCAGAACTCGGCCCGCTTTAGGAGACGTCACTGCCCACCGCCAATCCAGAGGCAGGGGACGCGGGTGGGGGGGAGAGGAGGGCAAACGGGGGGGAGTGGCTTCGGAGAGGCACCGCCCTTCGGCAGGTGGAACGAGGTGGGCTGGAGTGGGTGGAGCGAACGAGGTAAGGCGCGCGCGGGCGGAAGAGGCATGCGCGCGCGCCCAGAGTCAGCGAGCCATGAGCCACCTTTCGCTGCGGTCCCTTCGCGAGGTGATGAAGGCGCTCGTCGAGTCGTCCGGCTTTGATCGGGTGTTAAATAAGGTAATGATAAGGACGCTGCCTGGAGGGGCGGACGTGACGGGGTTGGAGCCGAGCTCCTTGCCCTTTTCTAGAAAGGTGGCCGCTTTGTTTGGGCTGCAGCAGAAGCAAGGAGCCCTCCTCCGGCAAAGACCGTAGTACCTCTGTTTTTAGTTTTTTACGCGAGACGTCTGGATTCCAGTCTCCTTCATCAGACGCACGAAGGGTTAACCTTTTATATATATATAAATCGATTTGAGGTAAGGATGGACTGTTAGTCGCCTTATCTGTATCGTCGCCTTTTCAGGGTGACCTTGGTGAGGCCCACAGCCTTCGCTATGGAAAGGTCCGCACTAATGGGGCTTAAAAATAGTGTACTGTATCGACTTTTTATTACTCCAGGGTATCGCTTTGGGATGCAAAGTACTTTCCTTTTCTCCGTAATGCACATGAAACCTGGGACTACCCTGGGCTAAATGAATAGGGCCTTACCAATGACCATATGGCTCCGGTCTTCCTAAAAGTGCTAATGACCCAAACGTGTATAGATTTGTTTAAAAATCCATTGGTTTCTGTGAATGTTTACTTTGAGTCAGATGCCCCCTTGCAACAACCAAAATAAATTGCAGTTCACCTGAATTGGAAGGTTACACGAAGAAATACAGCACACACATACACACACATACACACACAGGGAATTGGAAGGTTACATGAAGAAATACAGCACACACACACACACACATAGTTTGAATGCTATATACATAAATAGAATTTTAACATTTTGGATGCTATATACATAAATAGAATTTTAACATTGAGAAGACGATCTGCAGAAATAGAGCTTGGAATACCAGAACCACTTGTAATTCATTGTTCTTCTTGATAAAGTATATATCACCACATTAAAATTGTTACTTAATGGCGGATAGCTTCATTCCCATTGTTTTGAACTTATTAAAGGCACTTTTATAGTTAAAGAGTTGTAGTCTCACTAAATGGTGGAGAAATAATAATAATAATCTTTATTCTTTAAATAATAATTATTTCTTTGATTTATATCGCCCCATTAGTACAAGGCACTGTTCTAGGCAGCTTACATATAAATCGAAACAGGCTATAACAACAGACAAAATACCATATTTTTCTGTTTATAAGATGATACTTTTGTCTAAAATATTTAGATTAAAAATTGAGGGTCCTCTTATACACCGAAATAAGGAGGGGGCAGGGATCAAAGCACTTTGATGATTCCTGCCTTTCCCCTCCGCTTTCTTGTGAGGAAAGTGAAGGGGGAAAGCATTTTCCCTCAAGAAAGTGGAGGGGAAAAGCTGGGATCATCAAACACTTTGATTCATGCTTTCCCACCTCCACTTTTTGTGAAGAAAAAATTTGGGTTAAAAAAGTGGGGGGGTGTCTTATACAATTTTGGGTTAAAAAAGTGAGGGGGTGTCTTATACATGGAAATATGTAGATTGACATGCCACCCTATGATCAATTGTCGTTTGAGATCCTTGGCCCATAAACACTGCAGTTTCATCCATAGCAATCATGTTGGAGAGTTGGTATTTAGAAAAGCCAATGCCATCAACAAAGGTCTTGAATGCAAGTACACGTTTAATAAGTTTAGTATCTTCCAGCTTGAACAGTGTTATCAGTCTTCTTAGAGACAGTTCATATCGCTGAAGGAAGCTATCCAGCCAGTGTTGTGATGCTTTGAATTCTTCTGGGGATATTTCTAACTGTGGTGCTATGGCAAGGGCAAATGCTTGAATGTCAGCCCTGTGCACAACCAAAGCCTTTGCTCTCCTGTCAGCAATCCATTCAAAGATGATGTCTTCCAGCTCAGGAAATAATGGTTGCCTACCTGATCCACACTTGCGCTTCTTAGCATTGCCCTTGTCTACCTGTTGACTGAGGTTATTTTACTCCACTCACCATTTTCAGACCATTCGGAGATCCAACTTATTCTCTTTGCAGAAAGCCACGAGATTCTTGCCCCAGGAGTCTTCCACAATTCTTTTCTTGTACCCAGCAGAATAGCTCTTTCTTTTGGCACTCATCTTGTCTGGGGTTCAAAATATTCTTCCTTTTAAATCTATCATTTCATCAAGTTAACTGAAGGGTTATGAGACAAGAGTGGCAACAAAACTGATGATACCATAGTTAAGTATGATGGTTGACACAAAAATGATGAAAAATTTAGAAAAAAATTTTTTTTTAATTTCACATGAGTGCATTAACCTGCAGGGGTCCCCAACTTTGGGCCTCCAGATGTTCTTGGACTGCAACTCCCAGAAGCCTTCACCACTGCCTCTGCTGGCCAAGGTTTCTGGGAGATGAAGTCCAAGGACATCTGGAGGCCCAAGGTTGGGGACCCCTGCATTAAGGGAGACAAGGAAGAGAGGAGGAAAGGACACCCACTGTGGGTTAGTCACCCGGCAGGCACCATGCAAGGTTCCAACACAGCTATGGCTGTTGGATGCTCACCCGGAAGGGGAAATTGGCAGGTCTCTTCTTCCTCCTTGGGAGGGGTGCCTTCCAAGGGGCTTGAGTTCCTCCAGCGCCTGGGCTGAGGCTCCCATTGGGGCTGGCAGGTGCTGGGTTCATTTTGCGGAAAACGACAGAGCCACAACCTTGGCGGTGGAGGGAGGTGGGAACCCGAAGCCGGCAAGCC